GTGGCAGATCCTTCTTCTAGCAAACTTGGGAGTGAGGCAAGGCAGATGCACAGGAAAATGAAGGCAGTCTGAAGAAGTACAAACCGTCGCAACAGCAGAGTCCCTTATTCCTTTGCCCAGCAAACTAGCCAACTAGCCAAATCTGGACACCTACAGAAGTTGGGGACGTGTCGGCTGATGCATTCTGGCCTATCGCGGATGGTGTGGCTTTAGTTCCTGCTGTTGACTGTAATCGGTTTTATGCTACACAGACTGAATTTGTCCTTGACTTTTCTCAGGTATCAAGTTCAGGATTTGTTGCAGACTTGAGTCCTGACATTAGTACCACAAACCTTTAGGAATATTACAGAAATGGAGAATAGATTGCAAAACATACTTATATTTAGATTACCAGAAGAATTATAGAATTCTTGAGTTGAAAGGGACCTTGATGGTCATCTAGTCTAACCCCCTGCAGTACAGAAATCTCAGCAGCACCTGAACACTTTTTTAAAAACCAGCAACCTACAGTGGTGCCTTGCAAGACGAAATTAATTCGTTCCGCAAGTTTTTTCTTCTTGCGAGTTTTTCGTCTTGCGAAGCACGGTTTCCCATAGGAATGCATTGAAAATCAATCAATGCGTTCCTATGGAAACCGACTTCAGACCAGGTCCGGGGACAGTCTGTCCCCCGACCTCTTCTGAAGGCTGGGGGGGGGGACAAGGGCTTTTCTTCCCACCCCCAGCATTTTAAAAAAACCCGGGACAGCGGGGGACTTCTCCGCTGTCCGGGGCGATTTTAAAATGCTGGCGGGCGGCAGCGGAGGCTTCGCTGCCGCCAGCCAGCATTTTAAAATCGCCCCGGGACAGCGGAGGACTTCTCCGCTGTCCCGGGGCGATTTAAAAGCCGTCGGGAAGGCAGGCAGGGGGGAGCAAAGACTTTTGCCCCCCGCCGGCCTTCAGAAGAGGTCCTGGACCTCTTCTGAAGGCCGGCGGGGGGCAAAAGTCTTTGCTCCCCCCCCGCCTGCCTTCAAAAGCCGACCGGGATAGCGGAGAAACGAAGGCTGGCGGCGGGAGGAGGTCTCTCCGCCCCGCCGCCAGCCTTCGGAGGAGGTCCGAGGACAGTGGGGAAGACGCGCTGCGCTTCCCCGCTGTCCCGGAGATTTCCCTATGGGCTTTCGTCTTGCGAAGGAAGCCCATAGGGAAATTCGTTTTGCGAAGCGCCTCCAAAACGGAAAACCCTTTCGTCTAGCGGGTTTTCCATCTTGCGAGGCGTTTGTCTTGCGGGGCACCACTGTACTGGATTTTTTTCAACTAAGTTTTACACAGAAATTAATGAGCATGACTTAAGTTAGGTCCCTCAATTTCAGTAGATCTTCTGAGTAAAACTTAGATGAATACCACTCACTAAGTCTAGATCAGCTGAACAAAGCCATTTTATTCAGTCCTAATAAAAATGTATCAGGGAGAGATGCTTCAGAATAGATGCTTTATTTATACAGATTGTTTCTTCAGTTTAAAGGAGTAAGGAAATATGTTAAAAGTGGGCAGGTGCAGGCATGGAAAGAATCCGTAGCAATTATTACTTGGGCTTTAGCATCTCAGTTGAACTCTCAGTTTAACCACTTCAGGGCATTGCTGTGATTCTCCACGAACCATGGCAAGCAATTATTTTGTACATTCACATTAGCCTTAGGGACATAATAGGCCAGTTCAGAGCATGTGTAGGTTGGCTGTCTTCATTGCAGCAGAATTTTTTTATCAGCTCATCTGTCCATTTCAGGTGTCCTGCAATTTTAGATCCAGATTTCAAGCAGTCTCAGTAAAGATGTGAAGTTGATATAGAGTTGGAGGGGAGTGTGAGGGTCATCTTGTCCAACCCCTGCAATGCAAGTATCTCAACTGAAGCATCCATGACAGATGGCCATCCAACCTCAGCTTAAAAACCTCAATGGAAGGAGAGTCCACAGCCTCCCAAGGGAATCCATTTCACTGTTGAGCAGCTCTTACTGTCAGAACATTCTTCCTGATCTTTAGTTGGAACCTCCTTTCTTGTAACTTGAATCTGTTGGTTCAAGTCCTTCCCTCCAGAGCAGGAGAAAACAAGAAATCTTCCACGTGACAGCCCTTGAGATATTTGAAGAAGGCTCTCATATGTCACCCCGCTCTCCTCTTTTCCAGGCTAAACATGCCCACCTCCCTCAAGTGTTCCTCAAGGGTCTGGTCAAGGTACCCAGTGAACCTTGTGGCTGAGTGGAGATTTGAACCTGGATGTCCCTGGTCTATGCTCAGGTGTCCCCCACACCACCCCACAGATGCAACTATAGTGAGCTGCAGTGCCATGATCTACTTATATAAGACATTTGAAAAAGGTCAGGTTCTTATTCAGCCAAGTGAAGCACCATGAGATTGTTTTTTGAGGGAGGCAGGTTTTATTTTATGACAAGCTGCTGTGTGTTTATATTTTATAGTTAGCCTCTCTTGGCAGCTTCTCTTTATTGCGTTAGTACAGCATAGTGGCTATCAGTTAAGAAGTTCCCATTTCAGATCTCACCTCTTCTGCCTTAAATATATGATGTCATCTGAGTTGGCTCGCCATCTGTGGGTCCTTGCTTTGGGATCACATTCATCCAGTGCTTTACCAACTGCACTGGCTCCAGGTGGAGTACAGGGTCGGATTTAAGGTGCTGGTTTTGACCTTTAAAGCCCTATGCGGCCTAGAACCCACGTACCTAGGGGACCGCCTCTCCTGGTATGCCCCACCGAGGACCTTAAAGTCCACAAATGACAACATTTTGGAGGTCCCAGGTTGCAAGGTGGTTAGAGTGGTCTCAACTAGGGCCAGGGCCTTTTCAGTACTGGCCCCGTCTTGGTGGAATGCTCTTCACAAGAGACCAGGGCCCTGCGGGACTTGACATCTTTGCGCAGGCCCTGCAAGACAGAGCTGTTCCTCCTGGCCTTTGGTTTGGACTCAGTCTGACCCTTATATTTCCCTCCCCTTATGAGTCTGCATTTTAAATTGCATTTTAACCTGTATTTTAAATTGGTCCCCCCTTCTTTTTTCCCCTATTATGTTTTTACTGTGATTTTATTGGTGTTAGCCGCCCTGAACCTGGCTCTGGCCAGGGAGGGCAGGGTATAAATAAAATTCATTATTATTATTATTATTATTATTATTAGGGATAATGGTGACTTAACATTGCAGGGGTGTGGAAAAGATCCTTTAAAAGATGTACAGGAAGAACTCTGAGCACTCAGAAGCAGCACTATATAAAATTGCATTATAAATGCTGAATCTTTTAAATTTTTGGATAATTAAAGATTGCTTAATTAAAGTGGTCCTCCCTGAAAGAAAAGACCCTGCATACAGAGAACTGGTATGCAGGTTTTCACATCCCCCGCTAGGAAACAGCTTTCAGATATTCAGCCTGAAGGAAGAGCTTTGTCACTTGAGTTTTATGGCTGTGCCTTTGCCCAGGAGTAGAGGCAAAGTGACTCCTGCTCTTTCAAAATCGGTGAGTTGTTTTTGCTCACGAGATTGTCCTCATTCACCCTACAAATGATCTTGTTTTTATTTCTGCTAGAAGTGCTTCAGTTGGCAGCAGGGACTGGGTGTGCAGCTTCCCTTCCTCTCCCCCGTGCCGTTTTGGGTCCCTGTAGGGTAATTAAGAGGGGACCTTTTCAAGATGGTAGCATATTTCATGCAGGCTAATGCAGGAGTGGTAATTAAATGATTTGCTTTTTATGTGGGGTCTTGCCAAGACTCTCTTGGCAGTGAGCTGCAAGCCTCCATCACCAGCTGACAAGTCTCAGCAATAACCTGTAGCAAATAGTGATAAAAGCTGGGCTTCACATGATCTGCACAAGGGGCCTTTCTAATGATGCTTGACTTTTCTGTTCTCTCCCCCTTATGATATCTGAGCAAACAGAAATACTGTACATTTTTTCAGGATGAAGTCTTCCTTCTGGTAGTGCTGGAGCTGAGTGATGGTCACTGTTGCAAACACAACGGGACCTCAATAAGCCAGCAGTCTGAAAACACCCTGTCCTGGGGGGGACGGGACACCTCCAGTCATCTCAGTGTGAGGAAGCAGCTGTGCTTCTCCTTTCCACTTCCCCTCCTCTGAAATCAGCATGCTTATGGCAGCTGAAGCGGAGGGCGGCCAAAGCAAGGAAGCTGCCTTGCTCAAGTTGTCTATAAGCTGAAAACGATTGCCTCGTATTAAATGACAACGACTAATAATGGTTGATCTAAATTACTGCTGGGGCAAGCAGGGACACCGCTGTAAAAATGGGTTCCTAAATGTCATTGCTGTTCCTTTTTGCCGCTGAGATGCCCTCCTCCAAAGGCCCAGCGCAAAGTGCAGTTCAATACTTTGTCCTCTTGGCCAGTTTTCTCTCCTCCTCTCACTCCCTGGGGTTGGGGAGAGCCAACTGGAGCTGCAGCTCACCTGGGGCAGGTTGGCAAGGGAGACAGTTGCTTCAAACCTCCACTCTCAAAGGAAGTTGCGTTACATATGAGGTTTGCGTGGCTGCCACATAATAAAAGGTGGGACTTAACTGGGTAGGATCCTGCTAGGAAACAAATGGAAAAAATTGGCCAGCATTACAAGGTCAGGCATTTGGTGTTTTAAAAACCGCTGCAATGTGGGTTCGGTGGTTCTTAATTGTCATCTTGATTGTGATTGTAAGCTGTTGCTTTTAAATACAGTAATGCTGCAACTTATGCTGCGGTTACATTCCAGGGATCGTGCCTAAAGCCCAAATTGTTTCTAGTCAAAACCCATTGGCTTCAGTGGTGGTTGGGATTTCCAAAGCCATTTTTCCTGGAAACCCACCTCCTTTCCACTTCTTTTTTATTTACCACATATGTAAAGCTGAAGACACACAAGTTAAATGCATGTAAGTTGTGGGCCTACTGTATTGTGTTTTAATGTTGTAACCTGCCCTGGGACCTTAGGGCGAAGGGCAGACAAGGAGTAAATCAAACCAACCAACCAATATGGATCTCTTTTCTAAAAGGTTGTTTCAAAGATGACCGCATTGTATTCTGGACTTGGATGTTTTCCACTTACTTTATGGAGAAATGGGCCCCCCGGCAAGATGACATGCTCTTCTATGTCCGAAGGAAACTGTCATACGTTGGTGGAGACAATACAGATGGGAAGAAGGTAAGTTGGGTAATGGAATCTTACACCCAAGAGGCACATTTTCCTTCAGGTTAAGTGCAATTTGTGTTTTGGCACTGCCTGCATTCTGAGAGATGCTGTAAAGCTTGGATAGACTCTTGGGATGTGTGTGATTTGCTGGCTTATAAAAATTAAAGATATTTTTACATGAAATATTTGGCCATCATGATCTTAGGCAATGAAATGGGAAAAGAATACTACAATTATGTGTTCTGGGGTGCTTTGCCACGTTATAGCACTTAGAACCCGGAGGCCATTTGTATGACAGTCGGTGCTTGCGATCATGTGGTAGGTATTAGCTCATGTTATAAAATTCCAGAGGAAATGAAACATACCCACTTAACAACCGCTCACCACATTTCCTTGAATATAAAGTTTGTGAAGCTGGCCACAAGTACCCTTAAATCAACCTGATTTGGAGCTATTTTGTGATGAACAAAAAATCCACTTGGAAGTCAGAAGACAAATGCATTTTGTTTCTAGATTGGACATTATGAAATGTAAAGATTGTAACCTGATGTTGTTGTTTTTAGAAAGTGATTGTATGATATAGCTCATGGGTAGCAAACATTTCTCAGCCAGAGACTTGTGTTCCCTCACAGGCAATCTTCTGGGGGATGGATGGCAGTGATGGGCAGAGGCAGAAGTGGGTCAGGCTATGGGCAACAGATGCAACGGGGCACATTCAACTGTGAATAGTCCAATGTTTCTGCTCTCTCTCTCTCTCTTCTCCCTCCAGGCAAACAAGAACCATTCTTGCAGTTCAGGGATACATTCCAGCCAGGCAAAAACAGAGCAAGACAAGAGGGGCCTGGGCTTGGGAGAGTCTCAAGGGCTAACTAGAGAGACTGGGAGGACCACAGTCCATCCCTGGGCTTCATATTTCCCAGCCCTAGACTTAAGGGCTCCAATAGAGACTTCAGGGCTTTGCTCATGTTTATTCTCATAGAGAACACCATTCCATTTGTGAGAGAGCAGCAAATCACATATATGCTGTATCAAAACACATTGACGCAATGTGAAGAACTGTCTCTGTGAGCCAGGAATTGTTTCTGTGTATATTTATGTACTTGTGTATAGTCGTACCTTGGTTTCGAACACCTTAGTTCTTGAATGTTTTGGCTCTCGGATGCCGCAAACCCGGAAGTGACTGTTCTGGTTTGCGAACTATTTTTGGAAGCCAAATGTCTGATAGGGCTTCCGCAGCTTCTGATTGGCTGCAGGAGCTTCCAAGCTGCAATTTGGTTTCCAAATGTTTTGGAAGTTGAACGGATTTCTGGAACGGATTCCGTTCGACTTCCAAGGTACAACTATATTTGAAACTTCCTGCTACCTGAGAATTTGCTCAGGGTCAAGGCTATACCACAGTGGATTTCAAAATGTGTGCTGGAGAGCTCTTGGAGTTCCTCAGAAGCTTCTTGAAGTGGCGTGCATTCATGAGAAGCATTCATGAGAAGCCTTTTTTCTGACAAAGAGCTTGCCCAGTCCTGGCACCTTTCCCCTGCCATATGCAGCTACCAGAGAATCCTGGTTGGGTCAGGGCACATGCTCAGTTTATGTGGCACTAGACCCTGTGTGAGGGACGCACGTAGCGCTGTGGGTTAAACCACAGAGCCTAAGACTTGTTGATCAGAAGGTCGGCGGTTCAAATCCCTGCAACGGGGTGAGCTCCCGTTGCCTGGTCCCTCTCCTGCCAACCTAGCAGTTCGAAAGCACGTCAAAGTACAAGTAGATAAATAGGTACTGCTCTGGCAGGAAGGTAAACGGCGTTTCCCTGCTCTGGTTCGCCAGAAGCGGCTTAGTCATGCTGGCCACATGACCCAGAAGCTGTACGCTGGCTCCCTCGGCCAATAAAGTGAGATGAGCACCGCAACCCCAGAGTCGGTCACGACTGGACCTAATGGTCAGGGGCCCCTTTACCTTTACCTAGACCCTGTGTGAGGTGCACAGGAATTCCTCACCATGCACCTCTAAGCAACAGAAGGTGGAAAAAAATGTTTGAAGAACTATTGCACAGGGCTATACATTCCTCTCTTTCTAGGATATTTGTTATCCTAAATCTGGACTACTCTGTTTCTCTTAGAACTGCCGGAGAGGAAATAAAATGGCTCTTCTAGGCATCTGTCAGTATCTCCAACTCATCTGCCCAGGTGAAGAATTGAGTAGGTGGCAGCTTCTGTGGCAGCATCAATGTGCTGGGGGAAATAAGGCAAGCCAGGGAGTGGGAGAGATGGAGTGAAGAGCTATCGAGTGAAGCAGGAAATGGGGAAGGCTGGAGCGGAAGAGAAGCGGGAAATATATATGAGTCATTCCCTCCTTTACTTAGGCATCACTAACACCACTTCTAGCAGCGTATTCTTTCCTTCTGATAGGTTAAAAGCTTGATTTAGTGATAGATTACAGGTTGATGAAATTTCTCTTCCTTTTTATGAGTCTCGTTTAAGGCAAAGTGCAACCAGATGTTTATATGATAATGTATATTGATTTGACATAAAATGCGACCTGAAAGCTGGAAGCACTGTATAGAGTAAATCTTCTCACCAGTGCAGAGGTGGTTGTGTGAGGAGGAGGAGGAGGAGGATGCAAAATTTTCCATTTCCTGCAGAATGATTGCTTCCTGTCATGGCAGAAATGTGGATCTGTGCATGCTTGTGTTGGCTCATTGTGGCATAGGTAGCTGTGGCAATTTTGTTTTCAATGAGAGAGCAGAAAGTTGCAGCTTGATATGCCATCAATTTGTGGTCTTTAAGTTGGAGAAAATGAGAAATCACAGTGTTTGGAGGTGACAAGACAGTGGGAGGAAGGAGAACCTCCTTTGGCTCTCTTTGCTTCTCCTACCATGGCTGATCTTGGGTCTTCAACACAGTGGAACAGTCGGTGCCCTGAGCCCGTGTGGTGAGAGCCCCTAGATATATAGACCAAGGATGGCCACCTTCTGTGTTCTTGGAAGCCCCTCTTTTCCTGACTCTACAATAAGATGAGCAGTAAGAGCTCTGCGTGTGCTTACGGTGTGGACACTGCTGGGATGTTGCATTCGACCCCAAACAAAGATGTATTGTTAACATGGAAAGCATATTTCTTTCCCTTGTCAAATGGCACCTTCTTCTGCCCCTCTCTCTGCCCAGCTCCTCTTCCCCTTCTCATACTCCACGCTGCACCTGCAAAAAACAAACAAACTGTGCAAACATTCTTATTTTCGCATAAGTTGTCCACAAAATAATGTTATTGATTTAGAATAATTTTATAAACTACTTAATCAGACACAACCCTGAGTTGTGTTTATGTAAAATATAATAAAATAATTATCAGTGCTATATGAATAAAACCACACTGCCTTTTTGTATGCATTTTGCTTTTGTTTTTTAATTATTTCTCTGAACTGGGAACTGTGTTTTTGTCAAACTTTGAGAAGTGCAAAAACCAAAGAAGATTAGTCTGGGATGTGCAAATCAAGTCACTTCACTTGAAGTTGTGGCCTGGACAAATCCTTGAGCATCCCCAACTGCTGCTGTGACCTTATGGAGAAAGTGGTCATCCTCCATAGTCTGTTCCCTTGGTCCTTTCATTTACTTTTCCTTGCTGAAACATGGCCTTCCTCCCTATGACACAGCCCACCAATGCTGCCTCCTCCTCCCCCCTGCTCCTCACCCCCCACATCCCTATCCTGCTGCTTTTTTACCCTCTGCTGTCCTTTGCATCCCCATGTTGCTGTTCTCTGTCACCCTCCTGATGTCTGGCTAGTCACCTTCCTCGGCAACAGTGCCCATTCTCTGCAGTGAGGTGAGATTTCAACATTAATGTGGCTAGTCCCTCTGACCTAGCTGCCTCCCTGTCTCCTCTCCCTTTCCTCTTCCTCCAGTCTTTGCCTCTGAACTGACTCTCAGCACACACTGCCCTGGGCACTCTCTGGATCTTGGCTTCACTAAGGGCTGCTTTGTGCCTGACCTCTCTGGTGTGGAAATCTTGTGTCTCCTTGAAAGTCACGCACTGTCTGCCCTCCTCATCTGGTCCTTCTGTGGTCCACTCATCCAGCAGCCTTCTCAGAAGCATTATCCTGCCTTCTCCTGTTGTCCTCCTCCCAGTGTAAAATCTGGAAGCCCCTAGTCATGAACCAGCACATGGGCGGTGGATACAGATTCAGTCATTCTGACTCAAGGAATGAGGCAGTTGAGCAGCTCGGCAGCTGTATCCATGACTGAGCAGTCCTATTTAGGATCCACTCTGCTCACCCTGAATAGGGGCAAGGGCTAGAAAAGGCGCCCCAAACATAGTCTGTCTCCCTTTTCCCCTGACTGGATAACTGCGCCCAGTGGGGTCACCACTCAGCGATCACAAAAGACAATTGAAATTTGGAGCATGGAATACACAGACTTTGTTGGATAACACAGACAATGAGCGTTCCGAACACAGAACTGCCATCATCACAAGAGACATTTTAACGTTAATATTGCAGCACTTCAGGAAACTCGAAGAGCAGAAGAGGGACAACTGAAGGAAGAAAAAGGAGGCTACAGATTCTTTTGGAAAGGTCTACATGAACAAGAACATTGAATATATGAAGTAGGCTTTGCTATCAAAAATGATCTTGTGAAGCTCTTGTCAGAAGTCCCTACTAATGAGCGACTTTCAAACCTTTGAATAAAACTCGCCCCAAACCAACAGGTTACTATTCTAAGCGCTTATGCACCAACACTGGATGCCGATGAAGACATTAAAGAAAATTTTTATTCTCAGCTGGATGACACCCTGATTTTCATGCAAGAGTTGGGCGAGATTTTGATCTGTGGCCTGGGAAAGAAGGAGTTGGCAACAGCAACCAGAACAGAATCTTACTTTTGGCTATACGTGCAATTCTTCCTGAAATTGAAAAAAAAGTTCTTTTTAAGTGCTAACTCAACTATTGCACATACAATTGATATAAGGGCCCAACTCCTCCCAGTCTGTTCAATAACCTCCATAGCCTCCTGTTGAGAAATATCTGGTGCTGCATTCTGGAATTGCAAAAACAGCTTATTTATTGCAATTCTTTAGGTTTACTGTGCATAAGCTGCAAAATGAGTGGAACTTCTAGGCAGCCTTGAGCTATAACACCTCTCATATTAAACTTTAAAGGGGGGGAGGAGAGAGTTTGGGAGCTGGTTGAGTTAAAGTCCAAAGGGAGAAGTATTTGGAGGTCATAACGGTTACTTTGGATTAGAGTAGTGGTGGCACCACTGCTTCTTATCACTGTTCCTCTCAGTCTCAGAAAAGAATTGTGATAATCTGAGGTTCAAACCCAATTTTTGGAAGTTACAACCTTGAATGACCACTGCTTTGAATAATCTCCCTGCCCTTCTCCTTTGCTTATGTTCCTTGACTGTGAGCCTGTGGGCAGGGCTACCTTTGCTTTTAATAAATTTGTAGCCACTCAAATATGAGTTTTCCCGTTACTTAAAGACACCTTTTGGTTTCCCCCCTCAGCAGGTTGAAGTGGAAGTGTACCGCAGGGATTCTAAAAAGCTGCCTGGCCTGGGAGATCCAGATATCGACTGGGAGGAAAGTGTCTGCTTGAACCTTATCCTTCAAAAGGTAGCCTAACCTTTCTGTTTCTCCAGGCTCTGATTTATTAATATAGGAAGCCCCTTCCCTTTATGGAACACAGATATTTTGTCTGTGTGTGGTTGTGAAGGGAAGGCAGCTTCATTGGCCCTGTGCCCTTTGCTTCATACGGATATAGGATTTTCATCTGTCCAAAATTGCCTGCATTTTGACAGCCGGGCTGCCTGGTCAAGGGCAAAGGCTGTAGAGCATTTCCTTTGCATGCAAAAGGCTCAGTTCCTGGCATCTCCAGATAGGGGTGGGAACGTCTCCAGCCTGAGACACTGGAGAGCCACTGCCAGTCAGTGTTGACAATACTGAGCTAAATGGTATAAGGCTGCATCCAAGGTGGTCATCCATATATGAGCTCTTCATGGAGTGTTGGGGCTTATGTGTCGCTTGTGAATTGATGGTGACCTGTGTTGCTTGTTGCTCCAAGCTGGAGGAAGGCATCTAAGGAATCAGTCAAAGGCCAATGGTGCCTACCATTTCCAGGTGCAGCTTTGTTTCCTAGCTGGCTGCAAGGCAAGACCAGTATTTTGGGGATTATTCAGAAGAAGCATCGTCCTTCTCCTTAGTGCAAATAGGATAATGTAATGGAAGCTGTCCAGCAGGCCCAAGAAGGGAAAAGAGAGAATTTCTTAAAGTGCCTTCTTGGGGTGATAATAGAAATATTGAATAGTAGGGTTGGAAAGAACAGTACCCTGAAGGTTGTCTTGTCCAGGCCCCTGCAATACAGGAATGTTCCTTAAGTTTGGAAAGAAAATCAGCTCTGTCCCAGAATTTGCATTCAGAGGTGGCAACTTGATTTTCTCGGGGGAGGGGGTGGGGAGCACAACTTCAGTGCTTCTCAGATACTTAAGGGTAAAGGGAGGGGATCCAGAAGCTGACTGTGCCACCTTCCATTATTCAGTAGCATGGCAGGTAGAGGCACAAGAACCAGTCTCTTGGATTTTGTGAAATAATCATTCCTCTGCCTAGCCAGTTCATGTGCCTGGGCTCTGCTCTTCTCATATCCTCAATCACTAACCCACACCCATCACATAAACCTCAGAGGTCGAGCTTTACTCCATTCTGTGTGTGCCCTTCTGTATGTAGCTTTTGCTAATGCCTTGTCTATTTTTTCTTAGCGTTGTAAGTGTCTAGTAACTGTCCAAACCACCAAAAAGAAAGTGTTCAGGTATCCTCTTAAATCAGGGGTGGTGAACTTCTGGCTTTTCCAGTGCTGGACTTCATCCCTCATCATTTTCAGCCTTTATGACTTGATTCTCAGGTTTGGTAGGGGTCCAGCAACATCTGGGCAGTCACGGGTTCTCTACCCTGCTTCTAAATAATACATATGCTAGGAAGATGGAAACTACTTACTTGTGGGTTCATTCCATAGTAGTAATAAAGTGTATAAATGACTGCAGTGGCATTGGCAGGCGTGATCACATGGGACTCTCTTCATCCTGGGATTGTCCAAACTGTGGGAAAGGTCCATGTGATCAGCCCTAGTCACTCTGGCTATGTTCCGATGTAATGCTAAGCCATCATTGGTCTTAAAACAAGGTTTGTTCAGCAAACCATAAGTTGTCTCACTGATAAGCCATGACTTTTGCCCCCATAGTTTGTTTTGTTTTCCATTTGTTCTTTGGTTGTGTCTTTGTAGCTTGGTGGTTGGAGATAAGGTGGCCACACAAACCTAAGCACAACTGTTGAAGACTGGATTTTCCGAATCTTAACATTCTTGTTTAACCCTGGTTAATTGGGCCACCTTGGTCTCTTCTTTCCACGCTGGTTGTGTTCCTACATAATGCTAAGCCATTGTTGGTTTTAAACCTTGATTTAATATTTTCATTTGTCTGCAATTTACTGTAATCATACATTGGCTGTGCACCAGTGGACAACCATTCTGAATTATATCAGCTATAGATGAAAACAATTGCTGGTGAGATTGCTATGTTGGAATATACATGGTTCTAGATTGAGCTTGTGCCTGTCATTGTGCCTCTAGAAGACAATTGTCTCCTATTGTGTCAGGTTAGCAGCTCCTGCCTTAGCTGTTGCACAGTATGTTGGAGTACAGAGACGGATCTTTGTTTCCACTTAATTGACAGTCTAGACTTCTCTGCAGTTTTATTACTCATTGAAGATGCTAGACATCATGTACAGCCTGGGAGTTTTCTTGCTAAAAATTTGGAATCTTGACTTTTTTAAAAAAGATAAATGATTCAGTTTTTAAAGCTGTTATATTGTTGATTTACATTTAGTTTTAATCTGTGGTTTTAGCTGACTTGAGCACTCTTTAAGGAAAGACTGGATTCAGATTCCATAAAATAGATGTTGAGTCATTCTAGAATGTTTGTCATGTGCTGTGTTCCCTTTTTAACCCGAGGTACCACTGTACAAAATTTTGAAGATGGTGTCTGCACTTAAAAAAAATAAAATCCCTCTGCCCCCCCTCCCCCCAGGTTTCAGATGTGCGGATGTAGCTTTCTGTTCCCCTTTCAGGCTGGTTTTGCCCTTGGAGAAGTCCTCCTCTTTCTGTTGGCCTTTGTTCTCTGGCCTGCTATATTTCTTGTCACAGAGTAGGGATATTAAAGTTGTGATGGTGAAACCTTTGCAGGTAGAAGTGTCTCTGGCTGCCACTGGCCAGAGGTGCCAAGTCCCTGGGGCCTGAGCACCCACAAAATTCTCCATGAAGGGCCTGAGCACCCACAAATTTCAGTGCCAGGGCCATGCACGCTGCATTGCACCCACGACCCCGGGCACCCATGATTGGGGGCCAAGCTGGCACTCCTGCCCTTGGCTGATCTGCTCTGATCTTAGGAAGGGTCAAGGTAAGCAGAAAGGTTTGGCCAAAGAGGAGTAGAGGAAAGAGGAAACTCAGAAGAAGAGGAGACAGTGGTTGGGAAAGGCTGCAGATCAAGGAATGTTGGGGAAAGGGGATGTAAGAAGGGACTGAATGAGGGAACGTCAGCAAGAAGAGGAGGAAGACTTGTGGAAACAATGGGCAAAGTAGAAATTGTGCACCTGGTGAGGAGCTGCAGAGGTGAGGAATTGTATGTTGATTTGAAATCTCTGGTTGCATGATCCTCGTTTGATAAAAGTGCTGTTTTTGAACTAGGCTGTGCGTGTCCTGGGAGGAGGGTATCTGCAGAGCAGTTAGACATTGACTGGGGAAGGAACTTGCCTTTAAAAAGCAGACCAGAGTATTTATGAATCAGAGAGGAAATGGAAACTGGAAGGTCACATTTTCTCCTTTAGTTGCTGACTCTGGGGAAGAAAGCTTAATGAAAAAGCTCTTAAGGCTGTCATTCTGCTTTGGTTGTGTACAACCATTAATGCTTCTTTTCCAACGCCTTGGTGTTGTTTCAGCTGGATTACATAGTGACTTGTGCGGTGTGTACTCGTTCAGATGGAGGGGATATCCACATTCATAAAAAGAAATCCCAGGTGAGAAACTTGAAGGGACAGCCTTGATCTCAGCCCCTTTCCCTTCATGTACATGCCAATGTCCATGCAGCAAGCGAATAACATCTTCCAAATGGTTTATTCCAGCAAGTCTTTGCATCTCCAAGTAAGCACCCTATGGATAGCAAAGGGGAGGAATCGAAGATCAGTTATCCAAACATATTTTTTATGATTGACAACTTTGAAGAGGTAGGTCACTCACAAGAACAGATGCCATTTCTTGTGCTTGTCTTTAATTTCAAATAGTTGTGGTAGCTTCCAGCCAACAGTGCTGTGTTTACTTAACGTAACTGCACTGCATGGGAACATCTGCACACATCTGTTTGTTTCCTCTACTTGTATTCCTTTTCCTTAGAAAGCTTGGAGCAGATTATGTGGGGCTCCTGACGGTCTCCCCTCTGAGCCTAGGCTGGCTCTCGGCTTCTCTGTTGGTATAGAGGACCTGTAAACATAGAGGAACCTTACCTACATGTGTTAATCACTTGCAGACAGACATATGCAAAATACTGTAAAGCAAGTTCAAAGCCCAAAGGAAAGACTTGGAAAAGCTCAGTAACTGTTTAACCTGGTTAAATAAACTGCATGTCAAAATTTTGCAGTATCTTATCAAATAAACCACAGAGCCTAGGGCTTGCCGATCAGAAGGTTGGCGGTTCGAATCCCCGCGATGGGGTGAGCTCCCATGGCTCAGTCCCTGCTCCTGCCAACCTAGCAGTTCAAAACACGTCAAAGTACAAGTAGATAAATAGGAACTGCTCCGGCGGGAAGGTAAATGGCATTTCCGTGCGCTGCTCTGGTTCGCCCGAAGTGGCTTAGTCATGTTGGCCACATGACCCGGAAGCTGTACGCCAGCTCCCTTGGCTAATAAAGCGAGATGAGCGTCGCAACCCCAGAGTTGTCCATGACTGGACCTAACAGTCAGGGTCCCTTTAGCTTTATCAGATATTGCCAAAGGCTTAGAGATTGTCCTTTTCCTTAGACACTCTGAAGGTTGGCCCTGGGCAAAATCCAGCCCCCCGACCTGCTCTTGCTGGCAGAGCAGAAGCGCCTTTGTACTCTTCTGCCTTCTTCTTCTTCTTCTTCTTCTTCTTCTTCCTCCTCCTCCTCCTCCTCCTCCTCCTCCTCCTCTTCCTCTTTGCTATTTCTCTCCCATTAGAAATGAAAGGGAGAGATTCAAGTCAGCTCTTAAATTTCCCTTGGACTTGGGGGTCTTTAGGGGGAATAAGAAGGCCCCCATATACCACCTTTTGGCTCAGCTGATGACAAGGTGGTGATGGGAGACCTGATGTGTGGTCTCTCTCTCTCTCTCCCTGTACCTCCCAGGGGTCGAGAGGACTGCAGCCTTACCATGATTGTCTTGTGTTCCTCAGTGGACAGTAGACCTTCTGTCAGCAGAATTGGGAGGGAAGCACTTTCTGATGATTGCCCCCACCCCATGCCCCATTTAGGAAGAGCAGAGGTGTCTTCAGTGGGGAAGGGGAAATAAATGAAAATTGGTTCCCTTTCTGTTCACACAACCCTCAATTTCTCCCCCCGCCCCCAGCATTATATTGTATTAAGTTATGCTTTGTGAGCATTTTGGGCAATTTCATGTTTAATGCTCTTCCCCCTACTGCCCTCCTTGCTCAAAAAAATAAAATAGGATACATTTTTAACTGCTACAGGTTTTAGTGCTTCCAGGCCAATCATTTGCAATTTGCTTTTCTGAAACAAAGTCCTGCATCGTGTGCCTTGAAAAGGACATTTGTATTTTGCAATCTATGTAAAATAGGCGGCAGCAAATGAAGTTTTAGTTATCTAGAGCTACTGTTTTTCCCTCCTTCTACTAAGTGCAAGTTTTTTGGATGTTCATTTAGGTGTTCAGCGATATGACTGTAGGAGAAGGTGAGATGGTCTGTGTGGAGCTGGTGGCCAGTGACAAAAGCAACACCTTCCAAGGAGTCATCTTCCAGGGATCGATCCGCTACGAAGCCCTCAAGAAGGTCTATGACAATAGGGTGAGAGCCCTGCAGAAATATGGAAAACTATAGGAAAATAAAATAATGGAGATTGATTTGGACTGATAATGAAAAGTGTGGCACATGATTAAAGCATTTAGGATCCACGATGGGGTGATGGGAAGCTGTTATAGAAATTGTGTATAAGGAAAGAAACTAAGCATGTGGGAATATGTACTTTTCTTTTTCTGAATGTATGCTTTTTTTGAATTCAAAAAAGCATTAAAAAAACCAACAATGGGGTGAGAGCCCTTTTGGTGATGGTCACCTCCCTAGCTAGGTTGATACCTCACAGGTGACTGCACTAGGTATTCCTGCATTTGCCTCATTTATGCCTAAAGTGACTATTGGGAAGTGGGGTGCCTGTTTTCTACAACAACATGGGGGGAAAGTTTACCCTGGTCCCTTCCTCACTTTACCTTGTTGTGCTGCATTGCTACAGCTCACTGGGAGAAAAGTGCTTATGTGGTCGGGGAGCAGGGAGGGTTCAGTCCCAGTTTACTCCTAAGCCTCTGACTCTTTGGAGGTAAAGCCAGAATTTCTTAAGGAGCCATAAACTGTTACTAGGAGAAGCAAAATCCACTTGAGTTCTCTTGGAAATGTGAAAGGTGTTTGGGTGTAGAAAACTCTCAGTCCAAATGCAGGCTGTTGTGCCAGCTTCATGCAAAAATGTTTTGTGCATTTCAAGAACTTTCTAGATTATCCTCTGTTTTTAGCTATGTGCCTAAATGGTTGTGTATAAACAAACCAGACTGCCTGGAGAATTCCATAGGCTGCCACAGATAAGGACCTCACACCAGTTGTCACCCACCTAATATCTGAAGGTGGAAGCTCCTGGAGCAAGATCACCAAAGACGACCTTTAATAAACAAACAGCTTTGTATGAAAGAAGGAAGTCCTTTAGATACAGTGCTGCCACTTTTTTTTTCTTTTTTAAGAGTTTGGTAGCTAAAATCAGCACTACAAATTGTATCCAAGACGTAAGTGGAAGCCAGATAAGATTTTCTAGTGCAGACAAAATATGCTCAGATATGCAAGTCCTGGTCCACAACCTGGTTGCTGCATTCTGAGCCAGCTGAAGTTTCCAAATGTTTTCAAGGGTTTGCCCACATTCAGTTACAGTTATTGAAACTGAACGTGGCCAGAACATGGATAAGACTGAAAAGGGCATCTCTGCCCATAGAAGGCTGCAGTAGGCATAGTGGCATAAACTAGTGGAAAGTGCTTCACAAATATGAAACAACAGTAAATGCAGACTTTAGACACAGCAGACACAATAAAATGATCAAAATATAGATCAAAAAAATTTTTAAGCAAATGTAGATAATAAAAATATTTGTTTAGGTAAACAGAACTCTCTTTAGCAGGTGTCAATAACAGTATGATTGTCCTTGCCAAATATTAATAGGCAGGAAGTTCCAGAGAAGAGGAGCTGCCCCAGAAGTTCTTAATAATAATAATAATAATAATAATAATAATAATAATTTATTATTTGTACCCCGCCCATCTTGCTGGGTTTTCCCAGCCACTCTGGGCGGCTTCCATAGAAACCAAAAAACACTAAAATATCATACATTAAAAACTTCCCTGAACAGGGCTGCCTTAAGATGTCTTCTGAATGTCAGGTAGTTGTTTATCGTTTTGACATCTGATGGGAGGGCGTTCCACAGGGCGGGCGCCACTACCGAGAAGGCCCTCTGCCTGGTTCCCTGTAGCTTTGCTTCTCGCAATGAGGGAACCGCCAGAAGGCCCTCGGCGCTGGACCTCAGCGTCCGGGCAGAACGAAAAGCACGGAATGGACATTAAGGGAGAGTTTTAGAAGTGCCAGTTCCACAGAAATGAATCTGGCTTTTCCACAGATCTAAATTATTATTAACCCCTGAGATAACAAAATGCCTCAACCTGGCACCTGATGACAGCAAGGCAGGCATCAACCTTCCCTGGTCTGGGATTCCCATAACCAGTCTTACCTTTTTACTGTTCATTCTAGGTAAGCGTTGCAGCGAAAATGGCACAAAGGATGTCCTTTGGCTTTTACAAATACAATAATATGGAATTTGTGCGAATGAAAGGGCCACAAGGAAAAGGACACGCAGAAATGGCCGTGAGTCGCGTTTCAACTGGTGACACGTCTCCCTATGGGACAGAGGAAGATTCAAACCCAGGTTCACCTCTGCATGAGAGAGTGAGTTAAGTTCTCCAATCTTGGACTCTGGAGAACTCCGTTTGTTGAGGAGCCAGAAGTGTATCTTTGCTGTTCAAATCTACCTCTATTGGGCAGGATGTCTGCATCAAATAAAAACCAAAACAGTAGAAAGAATTCATCTTGCAGCTTTGGAAAGAAGTTTGACTCTAAAGTGAAACTGTCAGAAAACCTTTAAATATCTCCTTCTCTGTTAAAGTTAGAGGTTCTAAGTAAAATTGCCTTTGAAGTCCAGGTATGTCTTCTATATTGCCAGTTGGCAATCACTGTATTAAAGTACTGGATATTTTGCATTAAAAGGTCAGCTGTCCCTAAATGGTCACTGTACATAAATGGTGGTTTGTTCATGTGTGTTTGTTCAGTAGCCAGAAGAATGCATTTTCAAAACAGTGTTCAGGAAGTAGTTTTTATATCCACCAGACTGCAACTCAGAGCAGATAACCATTGAATGAGGTTCAAAATAAAATACAATGTCAATCAAAACACAGAGCAGTCAATATTATCTCATAACCTTCCTTCCCAATTTATTTCTGATTTTCTTCTTTCAGGTCACTTCATTCAGCACACCTCCAACTCCGGAACGCAACAACCGCCCTTCTTTCTTCTCCCCATCCCTCAAAAGGAAAGTGCCGCGGAATCGAATTGCTGAAATGAAGAAATCCCATTCTGCCAATGACAGTGAAGAGTTCTTTAGGGATGATGATAGTGGAGGTGAGAGAAGAGTGATCTTGAGGCATGGCGGGGCTTAAGGGATGCTTGCTGCTGGGGAGTACACTGATGTCACTAAATCAGGCTGGGATTCTCTCAGCCCAACTGTGTGACACACAAAAATGAGAAAAGATGAACTAAGGTAGTAGTCCCAGTGAGAACTAGAGTTCATGCCTTTGCAAACTAAACTTAGATGTATTTGCTTATTATCATCACTTTGACCCATGGAACCGCCTAGTGGATCCGATTGTGGTATTCACAACTGTGGAAAACACTACATTGTGGTGGGAGGTTATCTTGTGAAATTAGCAGGACTGGACAAGAAATCTGCTGAGGTTGATACACATGCAGGATAATGAGGTGACATTACCGTTTCATATTGAAGGCGGTGGAAATTGCGTTTTTGAATGTTCCCTTACTTAAAAAGCTCTTTGCAAGTGGAAAACTAGTCCAGTGGGGGAGGGCAAGACCAGAACCTTTTCTCCCAGGAGTTGCTAGTTTTCTACTTGCAGGGAGCTTTTAAGTGGGGGAGCCTTCAGAAATGGCTCCCCACCCCCGAAATGCAAAATGTGTTGGTTCAACTTACCATTGCAGAATTCTATCAACACATTTTCTGTTGCGTTTGTAGGTCAGGTCTAAGGTGATGCAGAACAAGCTTTTCTGTGTAGTGGGAAGGACTTTTGACTAACTGGCTTAGGATCTTGAGGAAGATGGACTTGCTTAGAAAGACATTTGCCATCCTACATTCCTGATGATGGCATTGTAAATAAATCAGTGATAAAGGACATGCATTTAATTCAGAAAAGGTTCTACCTTCTGCTCATGATGCCTCCAGCAACCGAATCACAGGGAACCGAGCAGGGAACTTCAAGAGTTTCCAAGTCAGAGAAGGTAGTATTGAGTTGAATAATGGGCTGATTTGTATATAAAACACACACAGCTCTTAGGTGCTGAACGGAGCCTCTCCTGTTCAGAGGGCAGGAGGCCTGTGATTGCTGGGTGCATGGCTGTGATATTCATCCCTTGCCTTGTGAGCTTCCCAAGGCAGGGTTGGCAAATGGGGTGCTGCCCTTGAAGGGCCTTGTAGTCTGTTTGCTGGACAATGGTATTGGGGGCAGTAATGTTTTGCTTACTTCCTGCAGCCTTGTTGTATTTTGGCAGATCTGCACAACGCAACAAACCTACGCTCGCGGTCTTTGTCTGGAACGGGAAGATCTCTGGTGGGCTCATGGCTGAAGCTAAACAGAACAGATGAAAACTTCCTTCTCTATGCACATCTAACCTACGTCACATTGCCATTGCATCGGATCTTAACAGGTGAGAAAAGTCTCATCCACATTTCAGAACGGGACAACCCTGACGCTCACCAGCAGCGTCTCCTGCACGTGCCTTGCTGAAATGAGTGGCAGGTATGGAGGAACATCTCCCATTCTGCACATGGGAGACATTTCCAGTGGAGTGTGCCCCTTCTGTCCAAGTGACAGTTCTCTCAAAAGCGTGAATTAACTCTAAAAGGGAGCACAGCTGGGTAAGTGAAGACACCCCAAACAATTGGAGCTGCTGCTGATCTGTCTGGCAAGTGGTGAAGAGAATTCAGCCATTATCTATTAAGTACTGAAGTGAGCTTCTTCTTCTGTTCCATCCAGCACCTCTAGGAGAGTTTGAGCAGCCCTGGGACCACATAGGAGAGCCTGTGCTACAGCTTGTCACAGCAGTATTAACCCACATTCATGGAATTAGGGACATTGGCATTGGATCCGTACTGAGCTAGTTGCACTTCGATCTTGTTGAAATCAGTGTGAAAAATTAGTTATAATTCAAATTCCATTGCACTTCAGTGCAATTAATTTAGGGTTGCGTCCAGTGCTGCAATAGAGGTTCCTTTTCCTCTCCTCTCCTGCACACCCTCAAAACCTGCTTCGGTCTTTGAAGGATCCTCCAACTCTTCCGAGCAGAATCTGAAGGTGTGCAGGGGAGAGAAGTCTCATTGTGCAAGCAGCCCAGCAGGGCTGGATTCAGCCCACAGCCAGCATCCAACTCACAATGTCTCTTGTTTTGATAGTTCAAAGCAATACCCCATTTTCAACCTCTGCCAAATAGCCATTGTGCTTTGGATGGTTGTGTCTACAAGGTTTTAGCTGCAGCAGCAGCACCTTCATTTCAAGAAAGAAAGGTACATTTTCCCCATTAGACTCACCGCCCTTGATAGTCAGGGTGTCTTTGAATGTTTGTGTGTGCGTTTCAAATTTCAGCTTTTGTGACAGTGTGGAAGCACTTTAACCATTTGGGGGTATGTTTTGTCTACCCCCCAATTTCAGCCGAAAGGAAATAATGTTCCCCTCCTGGGTTGTTGTTTTTAAACACTAAGCCAATGTTGAGTACATGTGGTTTAAAATGTGAGGGTTCTAGCTTACTATATTTTTCGCTCCATAAGACGCACCTGACCATAAGACGCAACCAGTTTTTAGAGGGGGAAAACAACAAGAAAAATAATATTCTGAACGAAACAGTGGATGTATGTTTTTTGTGGTTCATGCTGTGGCCACAGACATGTGATCTGATGGTGAATTTGGGGTGACCCAATGCAAAAATCCTGAGGATCCATGGGCTATTACTTCCCCCCTCCCAGGCAGCCTCCTTTATTGCTAGCATCCCTTACCTCTCTTCCGATCCCACCGATCAGCTGTTTCCTTTCAACACTCCCTTCCCTCTTGTTTGCCTTAGTGTCTTTTCCTTAGCTGGAGCGGTTTTTTGCTCCTCCTTTTCTTCTAATTTCTCTCCTTATTGGTTTAGTCTTCCTGTTTCCCCACTCTGCAAGTTTCTGTCTTTACCTCCCCCTCCCAGGCAGCCTCCTTTATCTCTAGCGTCCCCTGATCGGCAAACGATCAGCGTTTTGTTTCAACACCCACTTCCCTCTTTCAAAAAAAAACAAAATAAAACAAAACAAAAAGAAGAAGAAGAAGCATGATCTGCTTTTTGCCCCTGGGCAATTCGGCTCCAGGGACCACGCATTCGCTCCATAAGACACACAGACATTTCCCCTTACTTTTTAGGAAGAAAAAAGTGTGTCTTATGGAGCGAAAAATATGGTATGTGGAAGCACCCCAATGATTTCAAGATCTCTGCGAATGAGGCCCAACCATCTTTACTCATTGAGATATTGTAGCCAAAGAACTGTGGCCCGGAATCCTCACCACGATCCTGTCATCTTTCTTGTTTGCTTAGATATTCTGGAGGTGCGGCAGAAACCGATTCTGATGACATAGCAGAGAGCTGGGCACTGCCTTGGAAGCCATGCAGCCAAGTGCCTAAAAACAACAACTACAGTGCTCTTCTGTCACAGCAGCACCACCTAGCGTCAGAAACTTAACATAACACTGAAAAAAGGGATGTTTTGGGAATTACCAGCCAGCCATTCAAAAAGTGCCTCTTCCTCCCTCCCTCTGCTATACATACTATATACTCCCTTAAAAAAAACGAAAAAAGACTACATCTCTTTATAGTTATGACTGGCAGAAATAACTTGACCAATAAAGAAGACAAAGGGGGACATAAAGAACAAAAAGAGCCCCCAACAACACAAAAGTTGGGGCTGTGTTTAAAACTATGCTTTATGAACCATTTGTTACAGTGTTTACTTCATAACTGAAAACCAACCAACCTGTACAGAATGTATTAACCTTTATATATTTCGAGAGAAATGTCCATAGGATTTCATACTGATGTACCAATGAACTTCAATGAACTTCTGAGAGATGGTTGAGAACACTCCTTTGTTGCATCATAAAACAACTTTGTGTATGTGTTTTAAAGTTGATAGGGTAGCAGAATAGTATAACAGCAAAGGGAAGTTAGGGACTTAAATGGAGCAGACCAAATGGAACTTGAAGTCTTGGTCTTTACACTTCCCATGAGTGATATAGTTTTAAGGCTCACGTAGCAAAAACTGATTCCGCAATGACATCTTCACCTACCAAAGATCAGCGAAAAGTACAGCCAAAAAGGCTTGAAAGAGTGAGCTCAACACTTTGAAGAAATGTGCTAAATGTGATTTGGTTTCATTATGGCTATTACTTCTAGGAGCAAACCTGTCTCTAGTAGCATAGAATGTCTGCATATGAGAAGCAGGAAACACAAACTTAAAGACTCTAGTACCAAAAAACGCAGCAGACCTCAGCCAGTTACCACACCATTGGAAATTAAAACTAATTGAAGTGGGCTACTAGAAATCTTTTATACATCAAACTTTTCATTAGTACTATATAATGAAACTCGTTTTCCTGGATCTTGGTTCTGCTAATTCTGTGATTTGCTGTGCTTTGGTATACAGAAGCCTAATTATTTAAAATTCTCTAGAACACTACTGTGACATTATGTAAAAAGAAAGAAAAAGGAAACCCTGGCAAGGGCAGAGAGTGGGTATTTGTGGGGTGCTGATTGCAGAACCAAGTATGTTGCAGTTGTAGCAGAGGATGCATAAGACGCTTACCTGTTTGCTTATAGCAAAGGTTTCGCTGCTCTACAAACATAGGTACTGTTCTGAGGTGAGTTCTTTAAAAAGGTTCTTAAACTTGAGTTTAAAAGATCTGCCCATGGAGAGCATCTGTTGGTGGTTGTCTTATCATAAATATCCTCTCTCTCTCCCACCCACCCCCATTTCTCAATCCCCAAATAAGTTTTGCATTTGAAGTGTTTGTGGAGCAACATGACCACGCCCAGGTCTGCTAATTTCTTTCTTTTCTTTTTTAAAATGATGGACAGCCTAAATAACTCACATGGGGAAGGATGAGCAGGGTGACTGTTCCAGTGTGCCATTTCCTGCTCTGTGTGATCATCATCCCAGTTGTGGTGCTGGGAATGAGCCCGGCTCTCCCCCTTAAGTGAAAAATCATCTGAAAGTGTTCTTTGGAATAACAATATGGCTGCCTTCATCCTGAAATTCAGCTTGCTCAAACTCCAGTTCTTGAAATGGCTCCTTTAATTGTAAATCTCATTAACTGTCCTTTGTCACTGCCCTACCTTTTAAAATAATGCATTATAGCCAAAACATGGATTAACAAGTCTGATTGGCAGCTATAAAGGGTAGGAAGAAAAAATGTGTGTGTGTTGTGCAGGGATGGGTGTGTTTCTCTTTATTTAAAAAATTTAGTGCCATTTCCATTCTAAAGCAAATGCAACAAATATAGAGTATTCCTCTGGCAGAGAGCAGTCGGGAATGTAAACAAGCAAGTGCCACTCAAATTCGTGGGATTTTGCTCTCTGTAGGGAGATTAATACCATGGAACACAAACCCTGGACTACTATTTTTCTTCCTTCCACGACTATTTTTTGTCGTGAACTTTACCTATGGCATTAAGTAGTTCAGCACCTCAAATGCAACTATTTCTTTATATCATGGATTGTTCCCCTTGCAGTTGTAATTGAATATTTGTTGTGGAATCCCTCTTCCTGCTGAAGCCTTTGCTTCCCTCACTCTCATTCCTGCACTGAGCCACTTCACCTGAGAGCCTAGCATGCTGCACCTGGTCATGGACTGAGTTACTGCAGGTGAAACAGGGGCTGTTGGGATGGTCTAACATGTTAAGGGGAACAGGAATGACCAAAGCCTTTCCTGCACACACAAAAAGTCAATGTGTCGGGGGCAGAAGTCAGCCGCCTTCGGAACTACTCTGTACGTGGCAGGGTTTTATTGGAGACATTAAGACACGAAGTTCTCTGCCTACTGTCTGAAGTGGTATAGCCAAGAAACAAATTGTGTGTGGCTGCTGATGGTATATCTTAGCTCTTAAAACTGGTGCTTCCTTAAAACAGCAGTTGCAAACAAGTGACAAAAATTGCTATAAAATAAACTTACAACCACTGTGGATTTTTTTAAAACACACACACAAAAACCTGGAACGTCCACCATGCTGGAACAAAGTACACTTGCACGTTACAGCAAAGAAGGTGCTGCTGCCAAAAATGGCCTCTGTCACTTTTCGTACTACTTTTCCTGCTGCGACTCAAGTTCTGAATTTCCCTGCCCCTCATCCTAGGTCATCAGTCAGTGAAATGACATGGTATGTGGAAGAGGTGAGAATATGAAATGGGAATACCTTAAAACCCCTGCCAAATCAAGAATGCAGTTAATGAGGGTAAAAGAATAGGTCCACCTTCATTTCCAAACTGACAGTGCAGTCCTATATGCATGTTTCCTTTGAGGTGAGCCCCCCTGTGCTCAGCAGGGCTTAATCCTAGGTCAGTGTGCATCAGATTGTAGCCTTAAGATAATGTAATTCAGAGGCAGGCTGGTGACTTTAATGCAAGTCCCACTGAACACATCAAAAGGGGGGAGGGATTCTTTAGACTGAGCATTCTTGGAAAAAATGCAACTGAAGTCTTAATTGTTCATTTATTTTTTTACTGTTCCTCATTAAACTGATCAGAGATGGATATAATCCGTATCTCTTTCAGGCTGGCATTGTACATGTAATTCTTCAGCAAAATGCCTACCTACAGTTCTTATTATATGCACCTTTGAAATTCAAATCGCCGAAAGATTAAAAGGGGAAAAGATCATCTCACTCCTAGAGGCACGTTTAAATTTTCCAAGTTTTGCAGATTAATGTCAGTTTTTGCTTAGAGCGGGGTTCCTCCTCTGCCAGCTATTGTCACGCTTTACCTCAGAAAGTAAAGGCTAGACCACATTGTGCTGGTGAGGCCTGTTTTAGTCCCCCTAAAGTGGCATAAAGAGCTGGATACATAGAAACGTGAAGATGCTCCCATGCCCACATATTTCTATTGAAATGCCTGGGGCTTCTGGGGCTGATCCGGAGGCCTTTCTGTATGTCAGGTTCATGCAGCAGTGGGGCTACTATGCAACCACCTCTTGCAGGGGTTGTGTTTAGGTATAAATGTTGGACTGTGGTTGGGCTGTTGCCAGCCAATTCTGTGCCTTTTAAAATCCAGCTCTATATGTAAAATCTAAATTTCAAATAGCTCTGTGATTATATGTGAACATAATGTGCAGCTGTACACAGCTGGGTTTGAAGGACTTTAATGACACAAAGAATCCCCTCCACCCTAAATTTATGCTGCACTCTCTTGAGAAATGTTTTGTGGGCTGAGCCACTTAATGCTCAGAAGTGGCTGAGGCAGAGAAGTGTTGAGGCAGCTTTGCCAAGTCATTGCTCTATCCCTGTTCCTTTATAGGCAATGGTCGTGGGCTGGTTTACATCATTAGAGCAGGACCAGGCAGAACGTCCGTCAGGGTCTCCTCGTACTTCATTCACACTACATAAGGCTTTCGGGTTGAAAAGGAAGGGGGGGAAAATTCTGTCATGACTGGTTGTATGCTAATCAATTATTTATTGCATTTATTTGTCACTTTCTAGAACAACATCTCAAAGCAACTTAGCAGCTACATAAAATGTTGTTGTTGTTTAGTCGTTTCCGACTCTTCGTGACCCCATGGACCAGAGCACGCCAGGCACCTCTGTCCTCCACTACCTCCCGCAGTTTGGTCAAACTCATGCTGGTAACCTCGAAAACACTATCCAACCATCTCGTCCTCTGTCGCCCCCTTCTCCTTGTGCCCTCCATCTTTCCCAACATCAGAGTCTTTTCCAGGGAGTCTTCTCTTCTCATGAGGTGGCCAAAGTACTGGAGCCTCAGCTTCACGATCTGTCCTTCCAGTGAGCACTCAGGGCTGATTTCCTTAAGAATGGATGCGTTTGATCTTCTTGCAGTCCATGGGACTCTCAAGAGTCTCCTCCAGCACTATAATTCAAAAGCATCAATTCTTCGGCGATCAGCCTTCTTTATGGTCCAGCTCTCACTTCCATACATCACTACTGGGAAAACCATAGCTTTAACTATATGGACCTTTGTTGGCAAGGTGACGTCTCTACTTCTCAAGATGCTGTCTAGGCCTGTCATTGCCCTTCTCCCAAGAAGCAGGCGTCTTTTAATAAAATACATAAAATACCTAACAGCAAAACCACATCAGGCCAGTGACCCATTTAGATCAGCACCCTGTTCTCACAATGGCCAGTCCCATACTTGTGGGAAGACTGGAGCACAAGAGCATCTCTCCTGCTGTTTCCAGCAACTGGTCTTCAGAAGCATTTTGCTTCCTACCCTGGAGGCAGAATATCACCTTTGTGGCTAATAGCCATTCACAGTCATCATCTCCACTAATATTTCTAATCCCTTTTAAAGCCATCCAAAGGGGGGTTGGCGGAGCCTTCCTGGATGCTTTTGACCAGATCTTTGCACAGCCCTGCCAAACGTAGAGTTTTAAGAACCTCAGAACTGTAGGGATTCTGATCAAGATTTGTACCGTTACTTGCTGATTACCTGAGTGTTTTTACATCAACAGATGCAGCTGAAAACTGACTGCTTCAGTTTGTCAGGCTACAGAAACGCCTTGAAGGGAACAGGTTCCCTGCCCCTGCTGTATATACTGGCACAAACCACATTTGTACCAGAGGCAAGTCTGTCTAGTTAGACACAGCCTTAATTTTTATTTACTACCAAACATCAGCCAAACCACTTCATAATTTACATCTCAAGGTTTCAGCTCCCCCCCCCCCCCACTGCTGCCTTCAGACGGTGTGGTCTGCTATTTCTAAGTGCTAGATCAATTTTTATGGTTAATGTTAAATACCTTAAATGAACTATTCTGTTACCACAGGGCCTTATTCACCCAGGCGTGTTCAGTACTTTGTATGCTGGAACACCAAATGGTTTTCCTGTCCGTCCACCCGAACTGCAACTTTAGTATACCCTCCTATGAGTAAGAGGGCAGTCTCTTTAGAGCAACGATGTAAATTTAAGCACTCCAGATAAGCTCACTTGCTACCTTCAGCAGCTAGTGCGTAGGCGGAAGAAACTCTTGCGCTCAGATTTCTCAGTAAGAGAAATGAATTCAGGTCATAATGAGATGCCAGAAATGCGTATGAGCAAAATATCCAATAGATGGGAATAGTGTCTGTGGATTTGTTGATTATAAGGCACACTAGAGTCATTTCAACAGAGACCAGTGAGCGGTGAGAGCTAGGCTGCAGAGTGTTAGGTGGTAGAAGATGGGTATTGCCCTCCATTGACTCCGTTCCTCCAGCACTAGGGCTTTGCTTTCTACCACTGAGGTGTTTGTGAAAGCCATTTAGGAAAAGCGGTACACTTTGGCCTAAGGTGGCTTCCTGGTGACTCTAACAATGCAGAACTAAACCTACTCTTACCTTTATAGCCCACTTGTGGGATCTGTTTCTTGATCACATTGGGGTTGGAGCTTTTTAAATGTTAATTCTTTCCACTGCATTAGAATATCCTGTATTGGAATCAATGGCAGGTAATTTAATTCATACAGGATGGCCTCCTAGCATCAAAGAGGTACTTCACTGCACAGACACTGTGAATGCTCTTAATAATCCGTAGGGTGATAACTGAGGAACAAGCATTCTTGATTGCTATCACATGGGAAGCACACAGTAGCCATCCCAATGGTTTTTTTTTGAAAGCAGCCTTTGGCCATAAACCTAGTTTTGTGCATCTCTCTGACCTTTGTCTCATTGTGCCTGCCTTAGGATCCCTGCTCCATGAGGCCTGCCTTACCTCCCATCAGGGGTGATGGACAGGATTTACCTTAACTACAAACTGTGCATTCCTTTCCTTTCTTAAATATGAACAGAGGACCTTCATTTATACACCTGAAGCAGGGCAAATGTTGATTCTAGCATCTAACAGAAAGCTAAGAACTGTTCTTTTATGCAAAGATATATTCAAGCTGCTAGTCAACATGGAAATACCTTTCAGTACACTGAACTTGAACATCATTTGCCAATTTCTTATTTTTTAAAACCTAAATTTCTATGGAGAAATTGACTCCCAGAACAGTTCGCAATAATTCAAATCCCAAGCAAAATCAAATTCAAATAGCTACAATAAACATCAATATGAAAACCATGACAGTACAAAACCAATACCTCCTGTAGTTGGTTCCAGAAACCACAATTTAACATTCTAAACACTACTAGTCTAGGTAGAGAGATCTTAAGAACTTTGTTAGGATGTTAATCTGTTGCTGTTGGATTTTGCTTTTTCTTTCAGGCTGCAGCTCTATACACACACGCACTACAAAGCACCATGGTGGCACCGTGGGACTTGCTCCTGTATAGACATGCATTAGATTGCACCATCCAATTCCATTTCTGGAATGAGTGTTGATTTTGGACGCTGCCCCAGAGAGGGCCATGAGGCCCAGTGACTCAGTAGAGCAAAGGTGGGAACAATTGTGCCCCACGCCAAAGAGGTTGTTGGACTCGTCAGCCCCAGCCAGCAGTACCAGGGGTCAAAGATGATGGGAGCTTGAGACCCTGTTTGTGACTTTTAAATGAGTCTACACAGAATCAGATGGGAAGCAAGCCTTGACCTGTTTTGTCAAAGGAATGCCATCTAGAATGGGTATTAGGAATGTTTGTCTCATCATATCACCATCAAAGTCATAGGAACCAGTTTCTCTCTAGTATTGCCCACACAATTATATGTAGGTCAAACAATTATAGTGCTTTCCTGGGCCCAAAAGTGCACATTATCCCATTGAGATGAAATATGATGTAACTTTTTTGACCACAGTGGTTTAGAATCTGCCCAAGAAATTAGCTGCCCGTAGTCAGTGCTCATTCACCATTGAATTTAGTACACTTAAGGCAACAGCAACTGAAAGTGTACAGTGGAATAAACTGCCTATACTCATACTCTTTAAATAGTATTTTGTACACTAATTGTAATTACAGTGAGAGGCCAAGATAAAGAGACTGAAATGACCACTGTGGTCTTCCTGCTTCACATACTTTATGGATGATCAGATATACATGTTGCATGGTTTCTGCCTCAGTCAGCTTTGTGCTATAATTTTTTTACAGCTATGTAGCTGAGCCCACTAAGCAAGGAAAATGCAACAGGAACACTTTTGTACATGAGGAAAAAACAAATATTACATACACCTATGATGAACAGTGACTGCCAATAAATTATTCTTAAAAACATTATGCTAAGTGTGTGTGTATGCTGATTTGTGAGAAATTATTCACAAGTCCATGCCTACAATATGGGCCATGGATTCTATGTTGTTCTGTGATGGATTCTACCATGATGCTGACTGTGATCATAAAAACTGAACTGTGGACATTCAACATCTTGTTCATGCTGGAACAGCAAGCAGTAAATTTTACTACTACATCCAAAGTAGCAAAAACCCTGGAGCCAAAAAATTGCACAACTAGCTCTGCATTTGCAAGTTTTGGCCTCTGCATTTCTTGGGCAGCTACATCTACCTGGCAAATCTATCAAAATTGGAAGGTGTTTTTTTTTTAAAAAAAACATGTGTCAGGGGTTCAGGGAGAGAGGCACAGATGAGGGAGGAGACTGAGAGCGAGGGGGAAGGATCCCGGAGCGAGAAGGAGGAGGATGACAATGACTTGAGGTTTTCCATGAGTCTTTCAAGTGACTCGGAGGATTCCCAAAAGGGAGCGCCTCTGGTCAGGCCAAGGGGAGCCACGGGGGGACCAGTCAGGAGCAGGGGAGCAGTAGGGGAACCCCGAGTGGGAGTTGGAGATCGGGGCCGGCTTCCCCGCCGGAACGGAGTGAAGAGGGTGGAGTTCCCAGTGGGACAGACGGAGCAGAGCAGGAAGCAGAGAGGGGAAGGAGATCGGGACAAGCCGTCCTGCCGGAGGGGGCGGAGAGTAGCACAGAGAGCAGTGTAACTGTCAAGAGGAAGGTCAGGGGTAGCGAACGCGCGCCAAGTTCAAATGTGGAGGCGCGCGGAAATGCGGAGAGCCCGGAGGAGGAGCCTGGTCCCAAAGCACGGAGGAGGGGGGAGCAGGCGTCTGGGGATTCAGCGTCAGGGGAATCCAGGAGGGAAGGAACCCAGGGGGGCAGAAAGACCCTGCGGAAAAGAAAGGACAGGAAGAGGTGGACCAGCACAAGCCTCTTAAACTGGTGTAGAGGCGGGACTGATTCAGAGGGGACTTCGGCGGTCTAAGCGTAACAGACGTGGGGCCGCGCGCCTCGGCTGTGGAGCAAGCAATGTACTTCAATAAAGACTTTTGTAAATAAAGTGGACTTGGCGTTGGTCTCTTGTGAGCTGGGACCTGAGGCGCCCCTGACAGCATGAGTATTTGGCATTGAAAAGAATGCCAAGAACTAGTCACACCACGCCTTTTTGGTGTGCCAAGGTAACATTTAAGTCCCAACAAATGAGAGGAAAGCTAAAATGTCATATACAACAAGGGTAAAAAACAATTCAACTTAATTCAATACAGTGGTACCTCCAGTTATAAACTTAATTCATTCCGGAGGTCCGTTCTTAAGCTGAAACCGTTCTTAACCTGAGGCGCGCTTTTGCTAACGGGGCCTTCCACTGCTGCCGTGCCTCCGGTGCACGACTTCTGCTTGCATCCCGGGGCAAAGTTCGCAACCCAAGGTATTACTTCCAGGTTAGCAGAGCTCATTACCCGAAGCATTCACAAGGATGGTACGTAAACCTAGGTTCCACTGTATGTAGATCTTGGGTAAGAAGCACCTATCAGATTGGTCCTAATTGGTTGTTTCTCAAACACAAACACTTCCCATAATTTAAGGCTATGCCCAACCTCAGGCCCTTTATTATTTTGAATACAACACCTATCACCCCTGACCATTGGGCATGCTGGTTGGAGCTGATGAGGCACTGGGTTGGCAAAGGCTGGCTTAGTTCTGGCTAGAGTACATTATCCCTAGGACAGTATGCTTGTGGGTCTTCACCTCCTGCAACATGAAATTCAAGTTGTCATATGTATGCATCGATATTAGACAAGTATATGGTAGAAACATCACTTTAGAGTGCTATATTCTGAAATATATAAAATTTAGTTAAATGGCAGTGGTTTTTTCCAACTTGCACTTCTTTTGCTTCTACTAATGACAGAATGAGTTGTGTCCCTGCCTGACCCCTGCAAATCACTAGATGACAAATAGATTATACTCTCTTCAAACTTCTCCAGAGCCTCAGAAACCATTTTTCTTTAAATAAAAGCAGAACTGTAGAGCATTGTGTGAGCTATGCAATACCACAATGCAAGAAATCACCAGTGCATGCTGTGGCTAGACATGGTAATTTAGCAATTCTCAGCACCATTAGTGTAAGATTCTATTAAATAATTGAATCCATCTATTACTAAAAATCCTGCTTCATAGTCCAGCAATACTACCCCCCTGCAAAAGAAGTCAAGGAACTACATTTGCTTCAAAACGGTCTTGTAAGATGAAATACTTTGGTAAGTCTTCACTACCCTCCTCATTGTCAAGGCAATAACACTCCTGGTCTTTCTGCAGCATCTTCTTTACCTGGCTGCACTGACCATCTTCGCCACCAAGCCCAGGAGGTAGAATGCAAACATGTACAGATCGGAGTTCACACATCCTATTTGTTTATTCACATTTCCATGGATTTTTATACATTTCCTTAGAAAGAACTACAGCTAGCAAATGGACATGTGAAAAATGATAAAAGGCAAGCCCCAATTCTTGTTTAGCCTTTCAGATGGCGTCCTATGAGATGGGGAACAAACAAAAATGTTGACAGTCAAATGGAAAGAAAGGTTCATGTCGATTGTTCAGATAGCTGTTCATTAAGCTTTTATACATGGTTTCCATGCACTGTGAAATTTATCAAATCTTTACATTTGTGGTATACAGTTTAGCAACTTCTGCTAAAAATAACTTAAGGCATTAGACAGAACAGTTGTCAAATTACATTGTGTTGCAAAGGGAGTTAAAGCAAGATGCGATACAGTACTTATTGCTCCTTATATGTAGCGACATATTTTCAGTTTACAAACTACTTGTAGCAGACTGAGAACAGAGCAAAAGTAGCCAAATATTCTCCACACCCCTTCTATACAGGATTTTGATGACAAACCTTTTGAAGAATTAAAAAAAATAGAGAAATAGCACACTCCCCAAACAAGTTGAGGTTTGCCCTAGTTCTCCCTTGAGTGGCAGGCCTGCATCTGGACTGAGTGGCAGACGGGGCTCATGTAACAAAACACTCTTTCCTACAAAATAATTCCTTCCGCATAGCATTCTGAAGGCTAGGCTACAACCATTCTACCCAACGTGAATCCAATCAAGAGAACCCCTGCCTGCAGTCTGAAGAGACGCAGGTCAGACACCAGGGACCAGCTGAAAACTATGCACGTGCAAAGCGGCAGTATCTAATAAATCATCTTCTTTAGACTCTCTACTTCTGTCAAAATGTAAAAATGATTTTGCAAGTTTGGTTGGCAATCTTGCAAACAGGCAACAGGCGAACAACAGTCACTTAAATCCTACAGCAATAAAGTCAGACTACAAACACTGTGTCTACAAGGCGACAAGTGATCAGACTGCAAATTAAGACACTGCCTTATTGTTATGCAGCAAGTATCAATAGACTTGATTAAGATTTTTAAATATAATTAAAGCTACAATTTTGTGCCAAAGAAAAATGATCGTCCAGTTTTATACAGCCTTTTAAACTTACTCAAGAGAGTAAAACCAACACACAAAAATGAGATCTTACCTTTCACAGCAGGAGCAAGCCAACATGATCAACATCAGAAACCTACAAAACGAAGTCTATGCACATTCTCCTTCTTTCTTAGCAAGCCAATTTTGATCCACTTAGTAATTCAGATTGTTATTCTTGTAATAATTTTTATTACTGAAAGCGATGGGCCAATCACAAAGTCAACACTTACATTTAGGATTTACAGTCTGCTGGTTTATGCATTTGTTTTGTGTATCTATGACTGCCTTCTCCACCCTGGTGCCCTCCAGGTTTGGACCACAGCTCATATGAGCTCCATCCAAAACCTACTAGATGGGGCTGCAGCCTAAGAATCTGGCAGTGGACAGGTTGCGGAAGGCTGATGGAGCTTTCCCCAAGAGGGTGTGTGAAGAGCAGTGCCTGGTAAGCTTTCGCTACATCATGTCACAACCCACACAGGATGGCCAAGGTGCACCCACAGCAGGGATCTTCACATTTTTATGCAGCAGACATACGTTCAAAGAGGTGCAGGAAATTCCAATGCATTTCTGGAATGCCTTCCTCAGCAGCAGTGTGAAATAATCCCATTTTATGCTTGCTCTAAGAAAGAAGTAACTGACCACTTTCCATAACACAACCACTTTCAAGCAACACCTTTTGACCAGCTCTTGCAAACATTTAATGGACATTACGATTATTCTTTCATGCTGCTTTTAACTTTGAAAAGCAACATGCGCACTCTGGATTTCTTACAGAAGCAGCATCACGTAAGACATAGCAAAAAAATTATGAGAACAAACTGCATGTCAATGAAATGCTATTTCTTATTCTACTCAGTAACTGAAAAATTGTTACATATACACAGTTGCACTTTAGGAATCAGACAAGTGCAAAATACATAGCATACCTGTAATATTAACAGTCTCTCAATGTAAAAATTATGTTAGAGGAGGGTGTGGGAACAGGCTATCTGCTTTCTAGAAAAAGAGCAGGCTGTTTGCCCAGACACAGGGGAGTAAACAAAGCTCACTGAGGATTTTTAAGACACTATTTCTCAAAGACAAGAGCACACAATATTACTGAAGCTCTTGGCCATTCAACCTGAGCCTCTAACAGTAAGACTGGACTCCATATGCATGTTCCCATTTATAATATTAACATGCAAGTTAGCATTTCTGATTGTTCACCATCTTGAATGCTAAAGAGAACAATCCAGTGTGAAGCTCATTAGCCCAAACCTCACTAACATAAATGGTAACTCAGATTTATTTTAATGGGGATTGGGTCAGATTACTCCTTGCTGGACTGTACCCCAAGATATTTCAGTGTGGGGTGCTGAACTCTTGAAATACTCTCACACTTACTTTTTAGGAAGTCCAACACTTAAAACTTGATGCAAAAAAGGCACCAATTCATAATCAATACGGGCCCTGCTTCCACAGCATCCCAGCTCCCTTCCAGTTTTAAGGTACGACTAGAACTTTAAAGATTCAGATGTTTCGGAACCTATGATAACCAATATTTGTGGACTGGTTATGTGTGGCTTTACTAGCGACTGCTACATTAGTAAGACAACTATTTAAATAGCAGGGTATTCACGGTCTGACTGCTGATCCCGTTAAATGCACACTGGCGCACACCCAAAATAGTGTGGGCACAATTCACAGCTCTCTTGCACAAGCCCCTTGACATTAAAGGGGACTGTACAGAATTTTCAAGCCTGAAGATAAGGCTTTACAATGGAAGAAAGTCCATCAAATCCCTCAACACAAGATGCCCCAGGTTTGATAAAATCCAAGAGACAGGATTGGATTGAAAAAAATATAGCCATGCTACCTTTTCCCTCAGTTGTTTCTCTAGGGAATGAGAAAATAACAACCTGCAACTTTGGCCTTAAAAATCAGGGTACTGATTTTTAACAGCTGTTACTAAAACACAAAAACTATACTGTTCAGTTTAAAACATTTGTTCCTTCAACATAATCTGAACTGTGATTTCACATTTAGGAGAGGATTTCAATTCAAACTTGGATGCAAGATAAAGAAGTCTGTCAAATTTCTTTCCACCCACACAAAATTCTTCCTACACAATTTCCGGTGTAGTATTTTACACCATTTGAGTATAAATCAGTTTTATTCTGTATAATAAAAATGTTTATTTTTTGATATGCAAGTTTTCTTCAAATATGGTTCATGCATTAGATATTCAAATTAGAAGGGAGGAAGAACTGACTCTTGTGTCAAGTTAAAAGCTTTTATTGGCCATCTTAGTTTCTTTCCCTTACCAAAGCTCTTCAGAGTTCCTAAACAGTCCTTAGAATGTCAGAAGTGGTTTAAAAAGTTACTAGCAGAGTCAAGAGAGGGGAAATGAGCAGCAGCAGTTTGGCAAGTTTCGTCTGTAATTTTCAACAGCCCAGATTTTTAGACCTCCTTCTTCTCCAGTAAAATTTTGTGCAACTCATCTGCATCCTGACTTGTTTTCACTCTTATCAATATAGGAACAGGGACGGTAGCATTCTTCTCATCAATGGGTGGATTTGGAACACAGACAATGAGCACGTTGTTCTTCCCTGTTCTGGAGCACGGCATCTTAGGAGGCACCAAAATGTTCAGCAATATGTTGCCTGCAACAGAGTGGAAGTTGGGAAAAGAGCAAAATAAATACAAAATATGAATGTCTAGGTAGTAGTATGGTGACCTGAGGTATGAGAAAATCAGGTGTTACTGATCCACCTAGCCAACCACAGGCTGTTCCACCTGGCAGTGGTTCTCTCAAGGTCTCAGCCACAGCTCCTTGCTACAAGAGATGTTTTTATCTGGAAAAAGCTTGTGCTCTGTTACTGACTTACAAGCCTCCATTATTTCCTCAACTCATTTCCTCACCACATTAGCCACTATTCCTAAAAATGGGCAAGATCTCATTGTGATAATACTTAGCAATTAAAAAAGAAAAACAAATTCCTGAGATCCAGTGGCCAAACACTACATGGTTGATAAGCCAAACTTGCAATAATGGCTGTCAGTGCTGGTTTGCATCAAGATTCCAAACACAAATAATTTGTGAAGTCATCCAACTATGTGCTAGCAACTGCACACATCCAACTTGGGACACAAATCACAGCCACTGCTAGATGTGCCTGTTGTTTACTCATGTGTAAAATTCTACACAGTTGTAGGCATGAGAGCAAAAAAGGACCATCATAAATATCTTAATTATTTGAAAGAAGCCAGAAGCCTTTGACTTAGCAGTGGCTTGGAAGTTTATTGAACTAATAATAATAATAACGTACCTAAGTTGGTATCTGCCCGTACTAATAGCTGAATCTTCTGATTTCCTGCATGTTTTAAGTGTAGCGTTCCTATACCTTTTTCTTTAAATTCATTATCTTTCTTGTAAAAAACTTTGCACCTGAAAAAAGGAAACATAGACAAGATTCATTTTACAGAACGTGCATGAATGTGAAAGGTGAATAAAAGCCTCCAAATAGCTTGTATGTGGCAAACACCAGCATGCAAACAAATAATACATTTAAACTCAGGCTGGAACTAGCCAGACTAATAGTTATATAAATAGTCCTTCCAGAAAAGAAGTCTTTGCAACATGATAAAACTATTTGTTAGAATCTTCCAGAGTATACCAAAAATAATGGCCAAGATTTAAAGAACCATGAGCTCAAGGGGGCCTCAGATTTACTCTGAGAAACAGCAGCCCCCCAGCTGCACATAAAACTGCCTTTAAACTTTAGAGTGTTTTAAAATGAGCTCCTGACAAAAAGACTGCGGGTCTTTGGGTGAGACAAACACTAAGCAGTTCTTTGAGTCACTCTGTGCCAAAACAGAGGCAGCCTGTAACTTGTACCCCCTGGAATTATCAACGTTTGAACTCCAGTAGTATAAAGAGAGACAAAATAGCTTCGGCAAAAGAAATTTCATTTAGTTTGTAGTTGTAATGCACTATAAACTGCTAAAGACTTTTACTCACACATACAAAATTAGGGGGGAAAGCATACTGAACTCTCTACAGTAAGAGCATGATCGTGGTAATAGTATCAAAGAACACAACTCACTTCTTTGAGTAGAAGGCATCATCTTCCTTTATTTCATTCACTACTGCCTTTGGTGGCTCCTCATCTTCTTCGTCACCCCCTGTAGGAAGAATAATTTCAGGTAAGTGTTACGTATATACAAGAAAAGACACTGCAGTACATAAAAATCTTTTGATGTTTTAAAAATACATGGGGATATTAGATATCAGATACAGCTACCTGGTTCACATGGCATAAAGCCAAACTATGGCTTGACAAGGAGCAACTCACAAGTGCTTTACTTTTCCTCCGTTGCTCCACAAACAGCAGCTAAACCATGGCTTGGCGTTGCATCCAAACCTGGGCTCATGGCTGGCCTTGCCCCAGACAGCTGTGACCTGAAACCAAGGTCTGTTTGTGGCTTACCACTCACCATTGCTTGTTTGGGGAAAACAAACCATGAGCTCAAGGTTCGACCATAACACTAAGCCAAACCATGGCTCAGCTTCTGGTTGCATGTGAGCAAGATCACAGTATGTCTAAAAAGGTAGGGTCATCAGTATAAAATATATTTCTAAAAAATCTTCAAACAATGTGCTAGAGAGAAAGAAGTTACAGATATTAGCAGGGGTCGGCAACCTAAGGCCCATCGGCCACAAGCTGCCCACAGGGGTCGTTTAACCGGCCCATGAGCTGCCCCTGAACTGAGCCACCTGCTCAGCGAGTCCCTGCGTGCTGCACTAAACCGGTGCAGGGACTTGCTTCCGCGGCGCCAGAAATCGCGTCTGTGCATGCGCAGACGCCGGAAATTGTGGGCGCACATGCTCACGCAATCTGGCCCACGGAGGGACCTCCGCTGGAGTGAACTGGCCCAGGGGATATTAGAATATATTTTAAGCTGTGCTGATTAGCACTAACACTGCTGCATTTCCCACTCAACTTCTACTTCAACACTTACATTTATAAGCCTTGAACATTAAAATATGGCTTATAAGCTTTCTACATTTCTTAAAGAACACTCTTGATTAAAATTATCTACTTGAACTGTAACTCTAAAAGCTTATTTTATTTTTTCCTAATTGCCATAAAGTAAATAACAAAAAGGTTTATATATATATATATAGAGAGAGATTCTTTGTAATAAATAACTATCTGACTTTTAGAAGACATCTGAAGGCAGCCCTGTTTATGGAAGTTTTTAATGTCTGATTTTTTTATTGTATTTTTAATATTTTGTTGGAAGCCACAGTGTGGCTGGGGAAATCCAGCCAGATGGGCAGGGTATAAATAATTATTATTATCAATTATTATTATCAATTATTTATTTTTTAATTAAAATTACCATCATCATGTGACAGGGCAGTGGAGGTGCTCTTAGCCTTTTCCTATCCCCCAACCCCTGCTTAACCCAATCTATAGTTAAGGTTATTTAAATGGAAGGGGAACCAAAGCAGGGCTTTCAATAATTTCACCTACAAACATTTGTTATGGAAGTTTCAAAGTAGAAAAAAGCAGCGCAGATTGCTAGTAAAGCACCAAATTCTATTCAAAGTCACCCAATACTAAAAGGCATTCCTGCAGGGGTCCATAAGTTTTAGCTGACCTGGGCAGCCAGCTATTATTTGTAATCCTCAGTGACACCCTTTCCTAGAGTCCTCTGGCATGAGAAACAGATCTCTAGGGGGTCCAATTCTGCATATCAGCAGGAAGCTCACCAGATTTCAATGAAACATGGGACTGAATCCCATTTCTCAACTTCTAAAACAATAAATGTTTACCTTTATCTTCACTGCCACCACTTTCTGTCTGAATATCTAGTGCTTTGCTGGAAAATGAAGAAACAACCTTGCCTTGGCTTGTATCTTTTCCAAATAAACTTGCACTTCCAGGAGAGAATGAGAAACTAGGTAATGCACCAGAATTCAGACCAGAGTTGTCTACGCTCTTGCTAAAAGTAAAGGAGACAGTTGACATAGACCCTAGTTTTGGTTCCGTTTTCTTTTCCATTTCTGTTTTCTTTCCTGGTGCATTCTCAGATTTGTTGCTATTGAAGAAAAACGTTGAACTCTGCTGAAGATTTGGACTCCCAAATGCAGACCCAGGCTGAGTTCCAACTGTCTTGTTACTGTCACTTTCAGAACCGCTGTCACTACTCATTCCGCGTTGCTCTATCTCAGCTAAATATTTCTCATAGTCTCGGAAAATCGGCGACAGGTCACAGAGTGGATTGGCATTTACATGTTTTACTATCCAGTCACGCACCGAACAATTTAGAGCGGCTAACTGTTTATGATAAGCATCAGGGCTGCATGCTTTGTTCTCAGTGAATCCAGAGGACAAGGGCTGCTGGCTCTCACCATTTGCTTCCACACTTACAGGCTTTTTCTCAGTTACAGTATTATTCACTGAACCACTGGACACCACAGAACCTATTAGAAAGAAGAGCATTTTATGAACTTTCTTTACAATGTTGTATGCATACAAAAACCTAACCTGAACCCATTTCTAGAATGCATTCCCCCCCAATCTATTTACTGAATTTGTTCTACTGATTTGTTCCCAGTAATGCCAATTTTTAAAATATATCTATATCTATCTATCTATCTGGATAGCTGTACCATCGTGAGACTGGGAACCAGAGCTCTGTTCCATCATGATATTGGGGTCAATATATTTGTTAATGTATCCACTATGACCCCAAGGTCTCATTGCCAACCAGCCAGAGTCAGTTCAAGCTCCAAGAGCAAATAGGTGAAATTAAAATATTTTGCCCAACTTAGAACTTTTAATGGGTCATTTGATATAAATGTATCACTTTTATATGTGAAGGAAGTAGTTGTTCAAGAAGACGAAGAAATAATCATTCATTTATTGCAGCACTATGATAGCAGAGCAAGCATGGTAAAAGTCAAGATATACCAAAGGTGGAAGACTGGCTCACGAGGAACTTGGACACTGCACAAATGGTCTAAATCAGTGTTTCCCAACCACTGTTCCGCGGCACACTAGTGTGCCGCGAGATGTTGCCTGGTGTGCCGCGGGAAAAATTAAAAAATTGAAAGATTATTTTTTTTTTAAAGTCAAATTTTCGATTGGGGCGCCGTCACTAGATGACCCCTGGGGTTCCCTCCCTCCCTCCCGCTCTGCGCCTCCCTCCTCCTCCTCCGGGGAGGCCCTTCCTGGCTCTCGGCCAAGGCTTGGCGGCTGCCACTCACTCACTCGCTCGCCCACCCGTCTCTCCATCCCTGCACCCGGCCTCTCCCCCTCCGTCCCCGGCGCGGGGGCTGCCGGGATCCGTAGTCCCCTCGCCCTTGGGCTCCGCGCCCGCGCGGGGTGCGCAAACTACGTTTCCCAGCGTGGCCTGGCGGGCTGGGCGTTTTGTTTGAAGCGCTCTTCTCCCGGCCATGGAATGAGCGCGGCGGCGGCGGCCGGGCGGGCAGGGGCTCTTCCGCGCAGACCCCGCGCAGCCTGCTTGCACCCCCGCGGAGATCAGGCGGCAGGATGGAGGCCGGGGATCCCCGCGGAGGCGGAGCGGCGGAGGCTGCCCCCCAGGTAGGGCTGCGTCGGGGGGTGTGTTTATTTTTGCAATGCTGCATCCGCGCCGGAGGGGACGCATCGGACCGCGGGGAGACCCCTTGGCGTGCGTGCAAGGCAATGCATGCGTGCAGGCGTTGCATGGAGTGCAGTGCAATGCAATGGCAACGCGGCGCCCTGCATGCATGCATGCAACTTCCACCGGCGCTCCGGACTTGGCAGGTGAGGGGGGTCCCCAGTGGGCGGCAGAGAGAGCCGGGAGGGCGAAGGGGAGCCGGGGGGGAGCAGCGCTGCTCCCCGAGCCGAGCCCGGGGGGAAACTTCGGCGTCGTTGCGCCGGGTGTTGGAAGCGGAGGCTGGCGGGGGCCCCTCACCCGCAAAACCTGGTCGCCTCTCATATATTTCGTGCATTGCATTCATCGCCCGCTTTCTCCTCCAAGGAGCTCCCGGGGGCGCGCGTGGTTCTCCCCGTGTTATCCTCGCAACAACAGCCCTGCGAGGTGGGTCAGGCGAGTGGCCCAAGGGAGCACCCAGGGATTGTCCTGGCCAGGTGGGGTGATTTGAACCCTGCTCTCTGCCCGATCATCGTCCTCATTTAACCCCCACATGTGCATGACTGTGCATGACTGAGGTTGTCCCCCCTCGTCTTGGCTATGGTGTGAGTCTGTGCTGTTAATTAATGGGGTTCTGCCTTCGGAGAAGATGAGCCAGCCCTCAAGGAGGTGATTATGTAATTTGCTAGCAATTCATGTCCCTCCCGGCGTGACGCTGCGCGCTGACGTCACGGGGCTGTAATGGTGGTGTGCCTCGAGATTTTTTTCATGAAACAAGTGTGCCTTTGCCCAAAAAAGGTTGGGAAACACTGGTCTAAATGAGCAATGTATTCAGGGTAGGACAGACCAGCCCTCTTCATAACTTATTGAAATGAAAAAATGAATGACACTATAAATCCTTACGTGCTCCTAGGCAACATATAACAAGAAAAATATATATGCTCCATACTATAATGTGCTATTACAATAATATATAATAATTTAACTTAATAATGGTAAAATATAATGAGTATATGTGTGTATAATAAAATATATACAATATATCCAGATATAGATGCCTATGAACACTTAACTACTTTCTAACACAACCTAAATAGCCTTGGGGACAGAAACAAAAATATGTAGTAATTGGTATGTTCATAGATGTGCAGATCTCTTGAGGGGGGAATGTGGGGGAAAATAGTGCAACTTTCAAGATGTGATAAATGAACAATAGGTAAATAATCAGCTTATGTAAGTGATTTATATACTGAACAGCCAGAATGTTTGGCTCATATTTAACCATTTTAACCATGCATGGATATGTGATTTTTTTTTTTTTGCCCAACAGCTTTTTGAAGCGCACAATGCCAAGTGGATGATCACCTCCATCTATATGCTTGTTGATATGAGGGCTGGATGTGACACATACTTACACAAACCTTTCAGCTCCCTTAATATCATTAAAGGCATTTTTACAAGTATCGTCTGATGAGAAAATTTTACTGGTGAACTTACTAAATGTAGTAGTTGTTTCAGCAGCAGTCTTTAAATTGGTGAACGATGAGCTATTTGTGATGCTGCCGCTGCCGCCATTGGATAGCCCCCCTAAAGGCTTTGTTCCGGTGCCATTGCCAAAGCCAGAAAATCCTCCACCTCCAGACGGCAAAACGAAACCTTTAAAACCTTTAAAAGCTCCACCACTCTCAGCCTGAAAGAGATGTAAAACAGTTATCTCACTTTTCAGCTGTAGCCCCACAAAGTCCCATCCGTATGATTATGTTAATGTCCACCCATACAAAATCTTTGCTTCCCTTATACAAGGTAAATATTCTACAGGACATATTAATATTTGGTGCCTGTCTGATTCTCACACACATATTCATCAAATGATGAAATGTATCATTCCAGACATCACTGGAAACTAAGTATGGAATGTTCTTATCACCAAACATTAAGAATCTTTCCCATGAAGATAGTTCAGACATTTGACTTGCCTTTAACCCATGGGTACCAATGAAGTATACATGTATGTGTGGACCAGCCAATATACGTTGAGCCATTGTGAAATTAGATTCACTATCACAAGACAAATGGTATCTTCTGATTAAAGAAAACCCAACCCATGTGGACAAAACCTGAGCGCTCAGAGTAATCACTTACTCCTGAGCCAGCTGAAGGGCTACCCCCACCCTTCAATATAGAGAGCAATCAACAGTAACACACACATTAACAAAAAAGGCTTGGCTTTGCATGCAAGGTGAGACCTTAATCATGAGTCCTGGTTCACATGACAAACTAAGCCAAACTTCAGCTTAGCTCAGTGTGGCAGTAAAAAGACCATGGAGGAACAACGTGGCTGCAGGCTCCTTTCTGTGAGCCTGTACATTTGTGAGATCCTGGTAAGTCACAGTTTGGCTTGCTGTGTCATGTGAATGCAATCAGTATGGAATTCACCAGCAATAAAATCGCTTTTAACAGACAAACTGAAAACTGCAAACATCTGCAACTCCAACTGCAACTGTCTGGCTCCTAGAAAGAGTGGTGAAATAAATATGGGAAGTATTCTATCACTCTTGTCTTCCTCCAACTGTTTTCAACATTCTGCTCTCCTTTGGGGCCATTTCACACAATATGAATTCCCTAGGTGCAGTTCACTTCAAACAGGAAATGTTATATTTCGTCAAAACAACCTTCAGCCATTTCAATACTTGGCTGAATTTGTGCATCATTATTTACAGTACTTTCCACATAAGAAACAATTACCTGTGCATTTTTGGCAATACAAATGGTTGGACCAAGAATCAGACATTTATTATAAAATTAGTGCATTTATGTACCTCAAACCCCACATTTCTACGCTTTGCCTTCTTAATTGCTCTGTTCTTTAAAACCTCTTCACTGGCCACTGAGAACGTTCCCACCTGCAAGGAATATTATATTCTTAGAACAAACAAGGTTCCACTTGGACACAGAAAATTGCTTCTTGATTCCCTTGTATTACAAAACTCTAATTTCAAAATACACATTCACTTTTAACACTATAAGGCTCAACATTTTATAATAAGCAAATATTCAGCTTTAATAATAGCATTTTACAAAAACTACTTGTGAATCTTTTGTCGATAAAGGGCTTATCACTTGACTGCTACAAAAATATTTAGACTCTGTAAACCCTGCTTTGTCAAGAAACATTCCCAAATTTGCGTCAATAGCAAGTCAAATAATTTCCACCTTTATAACATAAAAAATTATGTCAATATACTTAACAGGTTTCTGCTTGAATATAGCATTTAAAATATATTGTGTGCTTCAATGCTTTTTTTTCTTAATGAAATTTTTCATTGCAACTACTATGGGATATTAGGAAAACTTGTGAAATAAGTAAAACTAAGTAAAATCAACACATTAAATATGTCAGAACATACCAAATTGGATCCTAACTGATTTAGGGTTTAATAATAATAATAATAATAATAATAATAATAAATTATTTATACCCTGCCCATCTGGCTGGGTTTCCCCAGCCACTCTGGGCAGCTTCCAACCGAATATTAAAAACAATACAGCATCAGACATTAAAAACTTCCCTAAACAGGGCCGCCTTCAGTTTTCTTTTAAAAGTAAAATAGTTGTTTATTGCCTTGACATCTGCTGGCCTCCCAGGGCAGTTCCACAGGGCAGGCACTACTACCGAGAAGGCCCTTTGCTCTCAGAAATCCGCTCTCAGTCCAAACCTTTTACATCTTTGTAGCTGGGTTGTTTTCAGTTTCTTATCTCATCGTCTCTGGCCTGTAGTTTGCTCCAATTAAAGCCCAATTAACAGGATAACCAGGAACGGGATGGGGGTGGGGCGGGTTTGTGGCAGCCAGAGTACTCCATGCACCCAGTGCCTTTGCCTGCCCTTGCATTCCATGGGGAAGCAAGTGCCAGACCGCCAGGCAAACTGCGGGTGAGAGCTTGGTCCTTCTTCCAACCAAAGAGGAAAACAGATAATGAAATTCCCCCATCATTATCTGATTATCTCCATCTGTCTCTCTCACACAGTGTTGGGAGAAACTCCATTCCTGGAGCACCGGAAACAAGAAGCCAAAGTTGAATACATTCATGAAGTTATTAGGTTGCTGATACAACATATGACACAACTCATGTACAGTTAAGGTCAAAGGAAAAAATCTGAACTAATTTTAATGACATTAGGTTTCACTTATGGCTATTGAGATGATTGCAAGTTTTCCAATCCAATAAAACAGATTTATGGAAATGTAGGTAGTAGCTGCTAAGGAAGACTAGAAACACCTCTGGTTATTGGCATTTTGAATGATTTCAGGAAGTGCATTCCATTTGCAAAGATGTGAAAAGGTTTAATGATGCTCTGAGATGGGCCATTACTGAAAAGCCTAGCACCACAAACACCCCAGGACCTCTAAGCTTTTTTCTGTTGCACTCGTTTGACAAAGGACTAGAATAAAAGCCTTGATTTCCACTACACAAAATGTAATCTTGACACCGCAACTCTTAGGCAAAACACATCCGTTGCATATAACTGACAAAACCATCCAGGGCCTGCCCAATGCATTTTGGCACCTGAGGCAAACCATGAAATGGTGCCCCTCCCCACCAGGGAAGAAGGAGTGAATGCAGATCTACATCAGCAACAAGAGGGATCAGGAACCAGGAGAGGAATCAAATCAACCTTACTTGAGAGCTGAAGTGGGAATCAAAGGATGTAAAGGGGGAGGTGATGACCCCAGAAGGCAGCTCCTGCCATTTCCTCCCTAGGGGTGAGAGGAGAAAAGCAGTGCCTCCTATCTGCTGAGATGTTGCTGTAGAGATGGCACTGCAGGGTGCGGGTGGGGGAGCTGCGAAGAAGGCAGCAGATCCAGCCTCCAAGAGGTGTGCTGCAGCCATTGCAGCCTGTGGATCACTTGCCTCGTGAATGAGCCAGCCCCGATACTAGCTCTATGAATGTGATTGCAACTAATTGTTGCCCATAGATCTATGAAAGTTACAAGGGAGAATCCGCTTACCTGGTGTAATCTGTTCTTTTTATGTTTAGCTTGTGATACAGTGCCAACGTAGTAATAAAATTCAATCATTTAGTTTTCCATGATCTTCCTATTGATTCTAGCAACTATTTCAATTTTATTTCTAACAAAAGCATCTAACCTTCCTTACCTCCTCAGTTTCTTCTTCTTGATCCCAGTTCCTGTCAGTCAGCTCCTTTTCTGCTACTCTCTTAGCCATTGTACAGCACTACTGTATTAGAACAGATAAAGCAAAAGAGTAATCAGCCATGCTTCACATCTAGTGGTTTTAAATAGGTGGCAAGCAACTTGCAATGAGCAGCTTGCATTACCAGACACTATGTAATAATTCAGTGACTTGTGATGGATTTTTAAAAAAACTAAAATGCACTAAATGGTTCATTATGTAATGCCTTAGTGTTAAAACTAAATAAGTCACAAAAAGAGTAATCAGATTCTACAAATGTAGACCATTTCATCCATAAAAGAATGTAGCTTTATGTATCTCAATGTGTTCTCCAGTTGCCTGTCTGTTTCCTTATCTGTTGAACCTACACAGGCAGCAACATTTCCCACAGAAATAGTTCATTGAGAGTTTCAGTATGGAATTAAAATAAATTTACAGTTTCAGTCACTTGGTACTTTTGATGGTATATGAAAACATCACATTGTTGGAAGACTACTTCCTCCTTTACACAGTATTTTGGGTTTGGAAAAGGGATGTTTGCGGCACACTTGGAGACACGTAGTGGTCCAGCTATGAATGCATTAGATTTATACTCCCACTTGTCACCTGGTTCAGCATATTTGAAGCAAATGCACAGCAAGTCATTGGGTGGCCGTAGCTACTGCATGTGTACTCATATGCTTACATGGTACTTTTCATAAATTAGAATTTACTTCTTGGACTCTTGTTGGTTAGCCATCACAGATCTAGTTCAACACTAGGAAGGAGTCATCCCACATTCATCCCATATAGAATAATAATGTTTAGTATCGTTCAGGAATATTTTTCATTATTTTTATGGATTGAATTATTAACACCTACAACATATTTACTTTTATCTTTCCTGCTTATCAGATACTAAGGAAACCAAATTCCAGGTGCTATGAAGATTAAAATTTCCCCACCAAAACAAAGGGCTGCATTCAACTAAACTGTTGCACTAGCAGAAGCCAGCACAATGATACCTGCTAGTGCAATGGGCTTTTCCACTCTCCTGCCACAGTGTACACTTCCCAAAGATGCTCTGGAGGATCAGGAAAATCCCCATAGCAGCATGCAGGGGGAAGAGAGAGGAGATCCATCAGGCAAGAAGAAATACTTCTGCTGACAATACTATCTCTTTAGCACTGTGTTAATTACAACCCCAGGTTTTGTGGCACCTTATCATGGCATAAACTTTGGTGGAATTAAACAACCCACTTCTTCAACTACATAAAGGTCTTGAACAGCCAACTGTTTGAGATGCCTCAAACAATCATTCAAATTAGGCCTCTATGTAGCTCATGAAATGTGCTTTATCTCAGCAAAAGCCTATAGCTGTCTACTTTTTTGTGGGCCTTTTCCTGGTTTCTCTAACAATCAGGAATTAATCAGCTGAAGCATTTAGTGTGTCAGTTGACTAAAACAGATGTATGGGGGAAAAGAATAGGCAACATCCAATAACACGCAGGTGGATGCAACAGAATGTCCCCTTCACCTGCCGTCCCTCAAAGTCCCCTGTGATACCATCTGCTCCAGAGAGTCCCTTGATCCTCTGTAAAAGATTTTTGGGTAGACAAGGAAATCTAAACTGTGCAATAAGTCAGTTGCACAAGCAGCAAGTCATAGCTGCTTATCACCCAATGTTAACATTAGCACAAGACGAGCATGAGATGCAAAATGCAATATGCAAGTGTGTACAGTGACCATTCACAACAGTAATAACTGTTGGTAGCAATTATTCCTTGCTTTGGAAATTTAAATTTACTCAGGTACTGGGAAGTAACTTGAGTAAATTCTTGAGACTGATTAAGCCCCAAAGAAATAGACTGTGCTGATAAGACTGCAAAACAGCTACTACCTTAGCATAGCAAATCAACGAAGAATGCATTATCAAGTGGTGTTGTGAGCAGTCACTGTACCTATCTTGCACATATCTAAGTTCAGCATAGAAATATCATAGGGTGCAACCTCTTAAATTTCAGGGCACATATGTATCACATCTCTGCTTTGAAGGCACAGCCAAACGAAGCAGGTTTTCTGCAGGGAGCTCTCTTACATACCTGGGCCAAGCAGGATCGCCCTACCTTTGCATCAGCTGATAAGTTTAATCCTGTTTTGCACAGCCACTTGTCAGGTGTTCCTGACAAGCAGCTGGTTGTCTGTATGATGTCAGGTGTGCTTTGCCTGTATGATGTCAGGTGTACAGCTGGAAAGTATGCCCAAAGTGGTCTGGGGGGCCAAATGGAGAAACTTGGGTAGGTAGGGGGCAAGATTGCTCTGCCTCAGTAGGACAGAGGCATATAATTTGGAATGATATGAGAAGTGAACCTGTGCCTCTCACTTGTCAAAACATTCAAGCACCATGAATTCATGTTTACTTATAGTACATAATCATTATAAGCTTCCCACTTGTACCACCACAAACCAGAAGTTCCTGATCTATCTCCTAATGCTTTCAGAATGCTGGAAGATGAAGCTATGTTTCAGAGAAGGCAAGCAGCAGCTCCTATATATGGTTGATGATGTCATAATGCAGTGGCGGCAAAGAGGAGAGCATCCTCTAGCTTCTGGGATAGTAGCAAGGGTTGTTATTCATAGTCTGTTTTCCCAACAAAAGCCCTGTAAGATAGGTTGGTATAAACAGAAAACTGAGAAAAGGCCACTTGCCCAATGCAACACTGTATAATCATGTCTGAAAGCAGACATGAGCTCACATCTCTTAGATGCAAACCAAACACTCTAGCTTTTCAACCATTGTGGTGCAAATGAAGAGTGCCACAAGGCTTAATCTGACCCAGAACCTCTTTCCCAACATCAGGCCTCCAATCTGATCAGGTGAAGAAATCAAGGCGACAGTATTTCTAAACATGCATAAACTATATTTCCCACACTACTAAGTACCTGCCCTCACCACATTTAGGATAATAAGGAATAATTCTGAAGCTTGAGAGTTGACTGGCCAGCTAGCTGGAGCCCATCTATGAGTCCCATTATTTTTTCTCTCTTAACTGGCCCCTGCTCCTGGTGTCTCTAACAGCTGCCTAACTTACAGACATTAAGCAGCTGAAGTGTTTACTGACAACTCTCTTTTCTTTTAGAAATCAAACTCTTGCCCTGCCTAGGACTGACAAAAAGCAGTCGCTCTACCTAATTTTAACCACTTGTTTAAAAAGGGCATTAAAGTTCACATTCGTTCCAAATTGGCCCCCGTGACCAACCACTCACACATACCTTTGAAACCCAGGCACCACACAAATCAAGCAGCTCTTATGCAGTATACACACACATCTTCACAGGAGGAATGTGCTGTAGGTGGTAAATAAAAACAAAGATCAAGGCAGGACTATGGCAAGCTGCAAGGATTCACTGTTGTCAAGATTTAAAAACAGGCCGTGCCCCTGTATTTTAAACAGGACCATAACACTCTGAAGAGTTCAGCAGGAAGAAATGTTTTACTTGCCACTCAACTCCATGCCAAATAAAAAAAGAAAAGCTTCACCACCTTGAATTTTCTCTGTGCTTTTGTGCTTAGGCTGCTGCTGACAGAACATAGGCAAGACCAGAAAAACAGGAGGTGGCAATCCAAGCCCCAGAATCTGAGCCAGTGTGCCATAGGTGCCAGGCAAAAACATTCCTCTTCCCCCAGACTAATTCTTCTTCTCTCCTTTGGCTCATTAAACCAGCTATGGCCTTTAAAACCCTGTGTGTGTGTGTGTGGTGATGGCTGGGTCATTGCTTTGTTTGTTAATATGTTATTTATCTTTGTTTTTTTTATATGGTAAACAGCCCTGTGATTCTCAGACAAAAGGTGGTATATAAATGTAATAAAGAATATGAATAATGATGAGGATCGTGGCCAGAGTGTTTGACTTGAGGCCTGGGAGAGGCCAAACCCTCCATCAGTGGGGGGGGGGCGGCGGTCCCTGCCTCCTCTCCAGAGGCCTCGGGGATTGTGCTCCCCCAGGACCCTCCCCTGGGCGCCCTGAGGGGCCCGGCAGAAAACCCCGACCCTGCTCCCCGGGGCGTTCGGCTCCTTAAATGGGCCTGGGGGTTGTGGCTTTCTTCTTGTGTTCTCATTTCATGCTGCGAACCCTCCTGAGATCGAAGGGTGAAGACTCGGCATATACAAATTCCGCGCACAGAAACAACAGGGTCGTTCTTCTGCGGGGAGCAAGTGCCACAAATGAATAGCACACAAACTCCCCCTCCCTCCCTCCCTCCCTCCCGCCGCCCCTCACCTGCCTCGCGGCTCCCTCAGCGGCGGAGACTGGAGAGGGAGCCGGCCGCGCGCCCTAGAGCGGCAGGCCGGTCTAGGAACCCGCGCGGCGCCTCCTCCGCCTCCCGCCCCAGCAAAGCCGGAAGGAGCTGTCGGCCGCGCGCGCCTAACGGCTGCCTCGGGAGCGGACTTCCGCCCGCCCCGCTGCACTATCCCGGGCCGTTTCCCGGGGAAGCCGCCCCGCTCCCCCCCGGCCCCTCTAGCAGCGCTCGCTGCGGGGCTGTTACCTGATGGCGCCGCGGGCGGAGAGAAAGAGGAAGGCGGGAGGCCGGGCGGGCGCACGCGCGCGCAGCAGAAAGCGCGGCCGCCACACCACTTCCGCTTCCGGCTCAACGCCCGCCCGCCCTTGCCCCGCCCACCTGCGAGGGGGCGGGGTGTTCCTCCGCAGCAGCCGCGCGCCTCGGCTCTCCGCCCGGCCGAAGCACTGCTCCGCCAGACGCTGCCGCTCTTCTTTCTCCCTGAAGTTCCGCGCTTATTTCGAGGACTACTTCTCCTATTAACTCTGGTGTTGACAAGGGATATATTTCACTTACCAGGTTTCTCATGGTGCATGAAAATGTAAAGGACATATGGGCTGACATTCTGATGATGACGCGTAGAATCTACAAAAATAGTTTTGCCCGTGAGCAGAACCTATTCAGCAATAAACTCTCATCTGAAAACATCCCCCCAAATCAATGAATTTGTTAAACCATTATTTTTAAAACTTTAGTTAAATGGACGGAGCAATCCTATAGTTACACTGTGAGAGATACGTAAGAAGAATTACTGCTGTATCTGAAGAAGTGTGCATGCACACGAAAGCTCATACCAAGAACTACCTTAGTTGGTCTTTAAGGTGCTACTGGAAGGAATTTTTTTGTTTTGCTGTGTCCAAGGCCTGCTTAAGCTAAGAGGGGAGAAATAATGGGAAAATACCAAAATTGGTGACCCCTCCCTGCATAACAAACAAAACTCACATTAAAGTCAGATATGAGCAGGTATCAGATAGCATTCTAACTAACTTCATGGATTTTCTGGTTGCAAGGTAATAAGAATGAAGTTATGCATCACCCAATGATATTTAACTGATGGCTATATGATCTTCACTGAGGTATACAGGTGAAACTCGGAAATTTAGAATATCGTGGAAAAGTTCATTTATGTCAGTGTTGTTTTTTAGTCTTTTAGTCGTGTCCGACTCTTCGTGACCCCATGGACCAGAGCACGCCAGGCACTTTTTAAAAAAGCACTTTCCCAGTCTCCTGTTTGTATAGTCAAAATCATTTGCAAACAAACTTATGCTGATTGTCCAATTGTTAAGAGTAAAAGGGAACTCCACTCCCCCCAGTTTAAAAGGTGAAGAACGTGCCAAACTGGTTTTGCAGATTTGAAGTCATCCTCACCACTCTTTGTTGTTGTTGTTGTTGTTGTTGTTGTTGTTGTTGTTTAGTCGTTTAGTCGTGTCCGACTCTTCGTGACCCCATGGACCAGAGCATGCCAGGCACTTCTGTCTTCCACTGCCTCCCGTAGTTTGGTCAAACTCATGCTGGTAGCTTCGAAGACACTATCCAACCATCTCGTCCTCTGTCGTCCCCTTCTCCTTGTGCCCTCCATCTTTCCCAGCATCAGGGTCTTTTCCAGGGAGTCTTCTCTTCTCATGAGGTGGCCAAAGTCTTGGAGCCTCAGCTTCGGGATCTGTCCTTCCAGTGAGCACTCAGGGCTGATTTCTTTAAGAATGGATACGTTTGATCTTCTTGCAGTCCATGGGACTCTCAAGAGTCTCCTCCAGCACCAGAATTCAAAAGCATCAATTCTTCGGCGATCAGCCTTCTTTATGGTCCAGCTCTCACTTCCATACATCACTACTCGGAAAACCATAGCTTTTACTATACGGACCTTTGTTGGCAAGGTGATGTCTCTGCTTTTTAAGATGCTGTCTAGGTTTGTCATCGCTTTTCTCCCAAGAAGCAGGCGTCTTTTAATTTTGTGGCTGCTGTCACCATCTGCAGTGATCATGGAGCCCAAGAAAGTGAAATCTCTCACTGCCTCCATGTCTTCCCCTTCTATTTGTCAGGAGGTGATGGGCCCAGTGGCTATGACCTTAGTTTTTTTGATGTTGAGCTTGATACGGAAGGAGAGGGGGGGGCAACCATCTTCCCCTCCATCGCTTCCCGAATGGGCCCGAGGCGATGACCTCGACAGTGCCCAACTCTGCCTAGGACCCTCATCCCCCACACCGTTGCACAAGCACCACACTATACCCCTGCCTTGATAATAAAAGGCTCTTTTTCCTGTCTCTATACGGGCGAAATAAGCCCCGATCTTTCCTATGCCTTCCTCTCGCTATTCCTAACGTGAGTAGACCGCATCATAATGGAACCCCATTCACTATACTGAGCTCCGCTTTAGCCAATCACAGCCATGCATTCGCCCTGCAGGAGCTAGCTCAGGGAGCTACTGCACGCCTCATTTCACTCCTGACAAGCTGCTGACGGCCCCCCACTGTGAGAACAATGGATCCGAAACCAGAGACCTCGTAAAACTGTCAAAATCCTGTTACAATGTATCCATTCTTGCAACAATATATCCGTTCTGTTTCCGATCTTGGCCAACGATACAGAATGGGTCGGAAAGCATAGAAATCTTTGGAAATTGATATAAAATCAACCGTAACTCCGATTTCTTTGCCCTTGGTGTCATTCTACTCAGTTCCCTTTGGACTCCATGATGTGACTCCTACCTCCATAATCCCCGAAACGGCGGGTCACGTACACAGGAACTTTCTAATCCTGTCAGATCGTTTCGCCTGACCCTTCCTCCGGGCAATATTAGGTGGCAGACGATGCATATCTCTGGCCCTTTGTCTTGCCACCACCGGTACTTCATAAATGTTTATCTATGTATATCACTCGCTCTGCATATTTCCCCCTCCCTTATCCCAAAATGTTAATCAGTGTAACCCCACCTTTCCTTGAGATATTCATGACGTGTGTAATATATTCATGATGCAATCCATGAAACCCAACCTTCCCATAATATATTCATGACGTTTCTTGCACTGTATTCTGGGACACGGAGGGAACTTTTAAAAGTTTATGTCGCCCCATCCTCGGGGTTCAATGCCATTTTGAACCTGTTGCGCAATAAACCTTGGATCTCCGCAGTTTGCTCTTGTGTCCGGCTGAGCTTACTTTTCCCGCTAGGACCCGCGGACTTAGTCCGACGAGCTGGGTGGCAGGACAACTCCGCACCCGGAATTTTCCGTAACAGTTGGCGCCCAACGTGGGGCAGGCGGTTCTCCCGTGTTGCTGACCGGGGGCCCTGAGATCTTCAGCCGGCTCCGGGCCCTTTTGCCTGGGAAGACCCTCTGGACCTCCGGCCATCTTCCGGGCGGTAATCAAACGTCCCAGGAGTTCAGCCGGGGAGCAAAGGGACATCCAGCCGGCTTCTTCGATCCCGGGATCAACGTTGAAGACGCGTGAGTATAGGAGAAGAAATGCAGTGCACTGGTGGGAAGGGGTGGAAGTCTCCTGGCAACTGAATCTCTGCCCTCCTCCCTATCGCTCCTTCTTACCTTTCCTTTGGTCCGGCTAACAAGAGAGACTTTGGACCGCCGCTCAGCCCGAAAAGGGGGGCTCTGAGCTCTATCTCTTTCTCTAAACCCTCTAGCCAGCCGCACCAATTGGGAGTCCGAAAATAAGACGGAGAGAGCCGACTTGAAAGACAGCCGACTCTCCGCAACGGACATCCCAGTTGAAAGCAAGGGGTTGGAGCTCTCTTTCCGAACTTCTCTAGCGCCCGGCAAGGGGGCGGGAAGTGGTCTTGCTTTCTGTCACCAATCCCAGCCGCACCGGTCGGGCCACGTAACACGTGTATCGTGCGTGAGCCCGCTTCCGAAAGCAAGGGGGATTTTCCGTTTAAAAAACCTGTCCTGGGACCACCCGATATGGCATCGCACTACGCGAGCGTCCAGTAGGGCCCCTTTTCCTGAGAGTGTGACGATAGGTAGGGGGTTGCCAGGAGGGGTTGCCCATGAGGAATTGGGCGGGACCGGCAGAGTGGAAGAAAACCCCAGATTATAGGAAATAGGAGTAAGGAAATAAAGAAATCGGAAAGGGAACATAAGAAACCAGGTAGATAGAGCTCTCAAAACCTTCGCGAAGGAAGTTGCCAAGCAGCTAGAGACCCCTCCTTATTATATACCCTTGCATTAGGCATAATATTCCCTAGGGCACCCCACACCAAACTTTACCAACCCCTCTCTTCCTTCTTTCTGTCTAGACACGCGCGAATAAAATGGGTACCCAGGCCTCTAAACATGAACGGGCTCACTCCGGGAGGAAGGCTTCGAGGAAGCCATCCGAATCCCAGAGAGACCCCGACTCCCCTCTTGAATTCGTCATCTCCTATTGGAAATCTATTCCCGGGCACAAATTGCTGTCGAGGCAGAAGTTAGAAGATCTTTGTAGAGACACTTGGCCCGCCGGAACTGCCTCCGCGAAACCAGAGTTATGCTGGCCAAGGGGGGGCTCCTTTAATGAAGACCGTCTACAACATCTTAGAAAATATTTGTTAGAAGAAAAGCCCCGTCAATTGGAATATCTGGCCACCTTCGAGACGGTCAAAGGGCTGCTCCAAGGCACCAAAGGAGCAACGACCTACCAGCTGCCTGTCTTAAGTCATGGAAGGTCGTCCTTGCCCCCCCCCCCATACGAGGGATACCCTGGAGAAGACTCCATGGAACAAACGCTCATCCCCTTCTACTATAGGCAAACCATTCCACCCGCCCCAGGGGATCGCTCAGATAACGATGAAGACGCACGGGAACCAGGGGCACGGGGGGGCACGAGCCCGCGAATAACCAGGCAGCGAGCTAAGGAGATTCAGAGCGGTACCTCAGAAGGCTCAAACCTTGTAGCGCTGGGACAACGGGCTAAAGAAATACTAGATGCCACCTTGAGAGACCCCAGCCTTCTAGAAAAACTTAAAGAGACCCCGGGGACGTCTAAACAGACGGAGTCCGCAGCCGTCCAGATGCCCTTAAGGGCCTTGCCAATCCCACCCCTGCAACCGGACGGACCTCCTCGGATGGTATACACTCACCAACCATTCTATACGGC